TGATAATTCTACTCACAACGATCTAAGACCACGTGGTTCACGTCTACCTCACTGGGTTTCTGCAGGTTCCTAACAACTCATTGAAGCTCGTCGGAAGAGTCTGGAAGAGTCCGCTATCCCTCTCGAAATACTCTCACACGGCCACGTGTATACAGCCTCTGACAGGGAGGTCCTACTCATTGCCTTCTCGTGGCGGGGGTGTTGTTTACGAAAATGAGAGAAAGAAAAGCGAATGTCCGGCGCTTTAACCGGATTCCAAACCAATGGTGCACATGGGCTCCAGTATCCTGCGGGAACAAATGGCGTATGAACCAATCGTTGGTCACCGGCTACCATGGGACTGCATCTCCTCACGATGCCCCACTGCCTTGTGGGTCATACCTTCGGTCAAAGGCTCGGGGTATGGCCCCCTAAGGGAACCACCTGCTTCGGTCTGGGCACCCGGGCACTATCACAGCCAACACACACAAATGATGAACTCTCTATATCTATGGAAACTACTTTTCTCGCCTCGAAAAACAATCAAATGATTCCAATTATTATCATTACTATCATTGTCATTATTATTACTATTATTGTTATGATTATTATTATCATTATTACTATTACTATTTACCACATTATTCATCCTCTTTTATACTTATACAGTGGCTCGTCTTTGGTGGAAACTCGGTTCTATCTAAACGTTCTCGAGTCACTGCCTGGTTGGAAATTGAATGCTACCACCAAATACGAATACTAAAACAGCTTTTCTGAAACCACGTGCACCATTCAAACTGGCTGCCTTCAACGTTCGCACACTTACGCAGATCGGACAACAGATAGGGCTGGCTATGTCTTTAGAAAATCTTCATATCGATGTCTGCTGTCTATCCGGGACCCGTATTGAAGACTCTGGTGAAGTACTACAAATTCCCTCTCCATCTGTCGCTTCAAAAAGCTTGTTTTACATGCGCTTATCCGGGGACCCTGTGGCATCTTCGTCTGGTCTTGCTGGCGTTGGTGTCACACTAAGCGCTAGAGCTGAGGCAGCACTAATCGATTGGATCCCCGTTAACAGTCGGTTATGTGCTGGTAGATTAGAGAGTTCGATCAAAGTGAGAAGAAATCGACGTGAGAAACGATGTCTTTTCGTCATCTCCGCCTATGCCCCGACAGATTGCAGCCCGGATGCAATCAAGGATGAGTTTTACCACCAGTTATCTGTTCTTCTCCAGAAAGTGCGTTCGATAGATATTGTAGTACCAGCCGGAGACTTGAATGCTCAGGTCGTGCGTCTAGACACTGAAGAGAGTCGTTTAGGTGGCCGATGGGGACTCGTTGGTCGCAGGTCAGATAACGGGCACCGTCTACTGCAACTTTGCACAGACCACAACCTGTTTCTGGCTAGCACTAACTTTCGGCACAGTCATCGCCGATGTGCCACCTGGCGTCCTCCTTCTGCATCTCGAGCCTGAACTCAGATTGATCACATCGCGATCAGCTACCGCTGGCGTGGTTGTGTACTAGACTGCCGCTCCTTTTGGAGTACCTATCTGGACTCTGACCATGCCTTGGTCTGCGCCAATCTTACCTTACTTTTCAGTGGACAACGAAGTGACCGCCATCAATGGATTGATATTAGCAAGCTGGTTGCAACTTCTGTTGCAAGTAAGTATCGAACCGAGCTAGCCTCTAGGCTAGCTACCATTCCACCGAAAAGTATAGATGAGCATTGGTTGCAATTGCATGACGCCATGAAAATGGCGGGAACAGCAAGTTGTGGGTTCGCGAAACGTCCCGCTTATAAGCAATGGGTTTCTTCAGGCTCCTTACAACTCATTGAAGCCCGTCGGTCTACTCCGGGTGACCGTGAGTTTGACCACAAACGAAGGATGTTACGAAATGAAATCGGGCAAAGCTTGCGTAAGGACCGGGAAGCCTGGTGGTCGGAGCGTGCTAACGAGCTGGAAGCAGCAGCTGCATCTGGTAACTACCGGGAGCCCTTCCAACTCATCCAAGCCACTGGCAGCAAGAAGTCTGGTGTGAGCGAAACAATCTGCGAGAATGATGGGATGCTAATCACTAACATCCATCGACATCTTGGACGATGGGCAGAATTCTTCGAAGGGCAGTTCTACTGGCCTGCTGCTTCGGCAACATCGGTCAGACTGTCCTGCCCTCCATGGCCGGTGACGACTGATCCACCAAATGAGGCGGAAGTTCGCAAGGAACTTCAAATCTACAAACGCTACAAATCACCAGGCCCAGATGACTTACCTCCGGCTCTTTTTAAAGATGGTGGTGACTTTTTGACTAAGGAATTGACGACGTTGTTTACAAAGGTTTGGGAACTAGAGAATGTACCAACGTCATGGAATGAGTCGATAGTTGTCCCTATCTTTAAAAAGGGTTCACGTCGATCCTGTAACAACTATCGGAGGATAAGTCTACTTCCGATTGCGTCCAAGCTATTGGCTTCCGTCATACTTCGTAGGTTGTTCAAAACCCGAGAAAGATTGACTCGCGAGGAGCAGGCTGGGTTTCGTTCTGGTCGAGGATGTATTGATCATATCTTCACCTTCCGCCAAATGTTAGAACACCGCCATACTTATCAAAGGCCAACAATCGTAGTGTTTCTTGACATCAGGGCTGCCTTCGATTCGTTGGACAGAACTGTTCTCTGGGATTGTCTATTGAAGAAGGGTGTGCCTGAGAAGTTTATTAACATCCTAAAAGCCCTATATACAAACACCTCAGGCAGAGTGAGGGCATACAACCACCTTTCTCCATTGTTCCATTCGAGTAGTGGGGTTAGGCAAGGTTGTCCAATTTATCCATTCCTCTTCAACTTTGCTATCGATGTCATTTAGGAAGCAGTTCTGATGGATGTAAGTAATGGCGGTTTTGATCTGTTGCCTGGAGAAAGACTTCTCGACCTTGAGTATGCGGATGATATTGTCTTACTCTGCGATAATGCCCAAGGCATGCAATCCGCACTTAGTCAGTTGGCAATCAGTGTCCGTAGGTATGGTATGTGCTTTGCACCTTCGAAGTGCAAAGTACTTCTACAGGACCGACAGGATTCCAATCCTGTACTTACCCTGGATGGTGAGCAGATAGACGTAGTCGAGAAGTTCGTGTATCTGGGTAGCTGCATAAGTGCTGGTGGTGGCGTGAGTTTTGAGATCAGTGCACGTATAGTGAAAGCCAGAGAGGCTTATGCCAATCTGGGTCATCTTTGGCACCTTCGTGATGTTAGTTTGGCTGTAAAAGTTCGGATATAAAACCCGTCAGTGAGAGCAGTTTCGCTCTATGCTTGTGAAACCTAGCCCATTGAGCGGAGGATGTTAGACAACTCTCTGTGTTCGATCATCGCTGTCTCCGAAGGATTGCTGACATCCAGTGGCAACACCATGTCAGTAATGCAGAGGTTCGGCATCGTGTGTCCGGGCACAGTGATGATAATGCAATCGATGTCACCATCTTGAAACACCGAATTCGGTGGCTTGGACATGTTCTACGAATGTCGTCCCAGAGAATTTCACGTCGTGCATTATTTGCCGTCTCTGGGACAGGTTGGAAGAAGCGGAGAGGTGGCCAGTGTATGGCATGGTGTCGTGGCATGAAAGAAAGCTGCAAAGGACTGGCTTGTGTTGGTCCTTCACGACTCCCTGGTTGGGGTCTGAGAGATGGTGCAACACAGTGGCTAGAGACGTTATCAGATATGGTTTAGAATAGAAGCCAGTGGCGATCCTGCTGTACCATTCTTTTACTTTCTTCATAGAAAGTGGTTGTGTCTCCCTTAACTGAAAGATTTCTTCTGATTGTACCTTTCCGTCCCCTCATTTTTACTACTATTATTACTACCACGATCAATAAAAAGCCAGTATATATAAATCTTAACTTTAAAGGTGATAACGTCGCACAAATAATCAGCAGGAGACTGAACACTGCTCTAGCCAGAACTTATCCGGCTGCTAAACTTTTAACTCTCTATAAAACATGTTCAATAACCCAACCAAAGGTCGACAAGCACCCCTTTCATGTCACCGCCAACTGTATTCATAAATTTACGTATACCTGCCAAAGTAGCTACATCGGCTGAACTGAGAGGAGAGCATATCTTAGATTTTTTGAACATGTCCCAAAAAGTCTTAGAACAAGGGAAAGAAAGAATCTGTATAGTGCAATCAACAAACATCTCCTTGATACATGACATCAGGTAGATACCTTACAATCCTTTAGGGTGATTAGTAAGCAGCCAAACTCCAGTCTTCTGGAGCCGTTGCCATCAGGTGTCAAAAACCTGACCCATGTATTCAGAAGGAGACAGTGGTTAATCTTTCCTTGCCTTGTTGATAAATATTATTTCGCTGCACTTTAAAAAAAATTTTCCTTTTTTTTCTCTTGTATTTATTACATCATTGATTTTATTTTATTTTTCAACTATCCTTCAACTGAACTCTACTCACTATATTCCTATCAATGTTTATTCATTATGTAATCAATTGTTTCTAACCCACTTTTGAACTGTTGTCACAATTAATCTTGTAGAATATTCTTTCACATTAGGTATATATTTACAATATTCAGTAAGCAATTTAAACCCATTATGTAATTATGATTTTTAAATATCACAGGTTGTAAGAAGCTGACGAGAACCTACGAAATAAAATGAATTCATGCTATTCTGCTAGAATATTTGTTCTTGATCTTTTCAAAATAATGAAATTGCAAGTTGTATTTATGCAGTAAGTTAGTGATTAAATAATATCCAGTACTACCCAGTTCAATTTATTAAGATCTAATTATTGATCAATGTATATAGGAAACATGTGAAGAATAGTGTGTTCAGGCATAGATTTTGATCTATTTTTGATGTGTAATAAATTTATCGTCTATCAACATTTGGTTTGTACTTTGCATCGGATCACAGATCTGCTTCTTTTTTAGTTTTACAACACTATATTCAATACCGCAAAAAGGAGACAACGATTGTCATTTATAATGATTATTTTCCTGATCAAACTTTATTACAAAATTTAATGAAAATGCATGTATACAATAATCAGGGGAAAAAGAAGGGAAGAGACTAATAATAATAATAATCAGTAGTATACAATACCATAAACTGAGAGAAAATAGATGATTAATAACACAACTAAGAGATAAATGATGATAATCTTGGGGGTAAGAGAGACAAAAGGGACGAAGGAAGTGGTGATGATAGAGATAAAAATTTACAACACAACATCTACACGCCTCAGTATGTTTACCTTTTTTGCCGGTGTATTAACGCATATTGTGTACATTTTAAAAAAGTACTCTTCAATACATATATGACGTTTAGTAGTGGAAGCGAGTGATAAAAAGAAGCAATGAAAAGCGAGGGAGTAGATAAACAAACAAGTACAAAAGAAATGAAATACTCGCCCATCGAGAATCAATCTTCACAATTGACTATCACAATTTGACACAATACAGTATACAAATAATAATAGTAATAATAATAAATTAAATAAGAAGTAAACTTAAATGGAAGAAAAGTCCTGAATAACTCTGTCTATCGCTTATATTCTTCTTTAGGCTATAAGTTCTGTTATTTTGTTTTTAATGGGAAGTAACACGATTATAAGGAGTAAAAACAAATTAAACGAAATTATACACATTTATTTTTCATTCTAATAATGATTTTTCTGTACAAATGGAGAAAAGTGAAAGAATATAAGATTTTAATCAGTAGAAGAATAAAGGCAATACACTACTATACCTTGGTGTCTTTAGTTAAATCCCAAGATTGTAGCAGAAAGACAACGAATTCATAAGTTCCAATCATAATACAAGAATTAGGTACTTGACGAATATAATGAGTTGCCATACCACGATAAAGTCCACTTATACCTTCCTCTTTGCCAACTAAATGAAGTGTACGAAAAAATCCTCGATATTGTCCAGTTTCTTCACGTAAACGAGTTCGAGCTACTTCTATTTAGTAATAAAGATGGAAAATTATATAGACAAAATTTTTTACGATTTCCAGATTTGTAGGATAGTATACTATCAAAATAAAACAAACTGTTTGTCTTTCTGTATCACACTCATTAACAGTAATCTTACATATAAAAATAATTGTAGCTTCATATGAAAATAAAATGGATTAATTATTCTTCATATTCAAAGTACACTGGACGGAGGTTCATGAAGCAAAATGCTTCAAAACTATGTAAAAAAACGACAGAAAACTCACTAAATTTTATTTAATGTACATATTTTCTCAATTATATTCTATATTGATTGTTTCCACGATGTTGTTACATAACATAAATTTCTTTTATATTTCAATAGACGATCGTCTTAATTTTTCCAAACCCATCACATGACTAAAATTGGCCTTGTGATATAGGTCTAGGTCAACTATTAACAATGTCTCGAAATTTACAAACATGGACTAGATTGTAGAAGTTTCTATATTTGCCACTGTTAAACTATTGATTGAGCCAATCATGGTTGTTACAACAATATTTGGTGACCTAGAGCGTTAATACACACCCAGGTTAATCATGTGATACGAATAGAAAATAGACTGAATGGCTTTGTAAATTTAAGTCTAAGACCATTTCATCTACTTGTCTATCATCATCCAGGTAGTGATCTTCCGTTCTTATATTCTAAGTAATGCCTGGAAATCAAGTGTACACACGCATTGATTTACTTTTATTGATCTTTAGTGGTCTGCTGTAAAACAATATGTATTGATATTTTTCCTAAGGTCATTTCTGTATTACTGATAATCAAGGCAGCAAAAAGAAAGACGTAAAATGAATTTCGAAGTAAGATATTCTTGGAATTAAGTTATTTGACAAAAGAGATTTAATGTTTGTTTAAATTATTGATTTAAATCTAAGTTCTTGTTCAAGCTAACAAACGATTACAGTCATTTATAATTACCTGGACATAAAAAAGCCATAACACAATTTGATAGAATATGAAATTAGGAACTAATATAATCTAGTCAACAAATGAACGTTAATGTACTCTAGGGCTTTTTATTTATGTTAATAATAATCAATACAAGTTAAATGCACTGGTTCACTCAGTTACTTCAATCGAATTTATTTATCTGAGTTTGAACACATCTCTATGAATAATTGTGGTGGTGAAGCGATGAGTTAGTGGTTAGGGCACTCGAGTAACTTTCAGTCACTAAGTTCCAGATTTGAACCCCACTTCGGAATCTGTTCAACGTTAAAAACTTTGGGTTGACATCTGAATTCTTATTGGGTCGCGATCCTCTAACCTCCTATACGTCCTACCCTTGAGTCCAGAAATCAGTAACCAGCCTCCACTAATAATGTATTTTAGACAAACGTAGTTGATATACAAGCAGACCAGACCACATCACACCGTAGAATATAAAATAACAATTATACATGGTCAAGCCAAAAAGTGGTTGAAAGTACGGGAGACTATGAATAATAAACTGCCAGAAGATTAAGAATAATTAATAATACAACAGTAGTTAATAGGTTAATCGGAAGCTGATATATATATAGAGAGAAAAATTCTAGAGTCCTCTCTATCTATGCACCAAAGCTGATTGACTAAAAACGGACCAATCAGAGTGGTCCCATAGATTTTTTCATGGAATATGCTTTAATTTAATCTATGTCCTGTCAACATTAGCACTCAAATTTAAGTGTGGCTCGTAACAAAGTACCTGGTGAGTAAGTTAATTAATTAATCAATGGAAGGTTAAGTACCTAAATAAAAATTATTAATATTCATGCTACTACAATGACCGCTTACGTACTTACCGTGAGGATATAGAGCAGTAATAGCGATTGCTTTAGAACAAGCACTAGCAATCATACACAAGATCATATCTTTTGAAGCAGATAATTTACTTCCGCCACTTGAACCACGAAAATCCGATGCTTTTTGAGGCAGATAATCATTATTACTACTGTAAACAGATTGTTCCGATATTGGAACAGAACTATTAAGAGTTAATTGACGTTTACGTTTATGCTCTCTCCAAAGCAGTTCTGATTTAAAATTTTCATATACAACGAAGTTTAAAGCTGTTTCTAGAGAACCAAAATACGATGCACTTACACCTCGGTAGAAGCCACGTAATCCATCTTGCTTCCAAGTGTTACGTATAACTTGTGAAACAGTAATAGGTGTATGACCTGGCCTATAAATCATAAGAAACATGGTGTATTAGAAGTGTTACTTTTTTTCTACTGTCCATAACTTTTATAAATGTAGATTACCAAAAATTAAAATCAACGTATATAGCTGCACATAAATTCATAATAAAATAAATAAGTAATTAATTATCAAAACTGACTAGTATTGGGGACGGATGGAAGAAAGTTAGGAGCAACCAAACCAAAACGTGGCATCAGTCCACAAAGTCACTGACTTCTGGTCTGAGCCATGTTGGTAGATACAAACTACTTGGTTGGGGTCCGCGCCACTATCGTAACCAATGGTTGGAAACTCTTGGTGACATAGTTCAGAATCGATCACGATGGTGTAGGTATGTACACCCTCTGTCTTCCCTTAAACTATTAGAATAAAATCGCATTGTACCTTCCTTCCTACGAACTATTTCTTCCTGTATTATATCCTTACATGCAATCTTTCTTTTACTATCACTGAAGTAACTACTTTTATGAACTTGGTGTTCATCTTGTTGTGCTAATGAGAAATGACAACTCGGACCGATGCATATATGTGCCTGTTCTTACGTTGTAGATGACTGACTGACTAATTCTAAATGTAAAATTTAATGCTCAACCTGACAATTATTAATACAGATTCACGTTAGCTGCTTTCAGACACGCTAGTACGAAAAGCCAGTGGTACTATTCAACTGTCCAAACTGAAATAAGTAAAGAATAGTTTGAATTTGGAATTCAGTATTTATTTTAGTACTTTTGATACATTGTTTAAAACTGACAAATGTAACATGAAATGTAAAATGAAACAAAATCCAAAAATTAATTAGAATTAAAGTGATATTAACGGAAAGCTGGGAAGTTTGAAGATCTCTTAGCAGTCGATTTAATTATCTAAGATATTAAAACTGGACGACTAACATTTTATCCACTGATATGCATCGTAAAGTTAGAATAACACGGGAAACTGTATTATTTTGACTATGGAATTAGTAATCCAAGGTGTTATGAACCGCGAAGTTAAATCCAAAAGTATGTTGGAAAACTTTGAGTAAACGACTTTGGCGTTTAGGTAGGTAAACTAAGCTAATAGCAGACAAGTGTTATTCTACTCCAGAGAACAAACAACAGCTAATACATGCTCTGATAAACATTCACTTTCAGCAAGTATTACCATTATATGTTACGAAACACACTATGTAGCCACCTTCGATATTAGCTTAAGACCATACATAAAGATATCGTATGGTCAATGGATAACACTAACAAATTTATTATAAAAATAGCAGTAACAACTGTTGATGAATCGGAGTGGAAAATTGAAGAGTAAATAAATTTCTTCAGCTTCTACAAAAACGTTGCTGGAGTGACTTAACCTGATAGGCTTCATGCACGATGAAAAACAGAAGTAACTTAAATGTAAACTGACAAACAGTTGGTAATTAAGCAATTTTGACCAAAGAAATAAAAAGGCAAACAAGACAGTGTTCAAAAAATGACACTAGACACATGTACCAACAAAATGAACGTGAAATGTTTCCAGTTAGCGAAATTATTGCTGGAAATGAAGTATCAATAGTCCAATTATCGGTCATGAAACTGGGATGATGGCTGAAACGTCTTAAAGAGCAATTTAACCGGTTTCCAAGCACATTTTAGTTGTCTGCTACCCGTCAATATCTATGAGCTAACGTTTTATCATGGCTAGCAAATAAGCAGGCTGGAAAAAGCGACTAAACTAAAACGCATTCAATCCACAAAATCACTGATTGCTGAATCAAAGTCATTTGGGGACAAACAAACTTGTTACCAAAATCCCACAAGATAGTTGTAATCTATGGTTAATATATTACGCGATATGACTCGAAATTCATCGTAGTGACGCAAACAAATTTGGTTTTTCATCGTTATTTGGGTTCATTATCATACTATTCTTCCTATTGAATGATATTTTCTGTTTTCTTTCCCACTACCGTCGGGATAATTATTATTCTTGCTTTTTCTCGGTTGGTTCGTTCTGACTGCGCTGCCAAGAAGTGGGGCAACTCGAGCTAGCACACACTTCTATTAGGTCTTACGTTGGTTGCGTGTATTTATCGGTTTATGTCTAAAATATGGTAACAATTTGGTTAGTAGAGCTTATTTCAGAATGGGACAGCACATAAACATCATAAACCCAAAAGTAAATCTAGAAATTGATAAAACTGAAGAAATTTGATTTAAGTTCACAATTCCACACTGGATATTATTGGCTACTAGGTAACAGGACTAATGCATTGAATACAAGACTGGAAAATGAAGATCACGATATCCGATCACTTGATATGCTACCCAATTATCTAACTAATACTTAGGAAAAAACTTATGGGTCAGAACATATTAGCAAGAAGTATAAAGCAGTTAGCAGTGAAATCAGAGAAGAATGTTTTTAGATGTAAAATACGGTTAGATGGATCTATCTTTGATCATGAATTAATCATATCCCACCTTCTCCGACAAACCAGAAATATAGTTTTAAATTAAGGACACCATGACTATTGAAATCAGATAAAATAGAATATGAAAAGGTTGCAAAAATAAAGATAATAAAGGCAAAATGAACAAGCATCGAAAGGACCTCTACCAAAAACTAGAAGGAATTTCCAGTTGTTGATGTATATGTGACTGATGATATATCTAAGCGCATGTACTGCCGGTAAGATACCAAGCAAAGGGTTACAAGAAGTGACTAAAAATCACAATTAGCAAAACGTTTGAACCTGTGGCCATGAGAATGAATTGGAAAGCAAAATCATTCAGTTACGATTCTACATGAAAACCTAATTCACTTAAGCTCTCAGTTTAAAAAAATAAACCCAATCAAGAAAAAAACCTACTGCAGCTAAACGAACTGTACTTAAATACTTACATACGCCTGTTTAAATTTAATCCACTAAGCTTTTGATGACTTTCATTAATTGTTTTTAAATAAAGTGTGTCTATAGGGGCGATTAGTAAATAAGTTAGATAAAAAAAACTATCGAACCTGTGGATTCAGCTATTTGACTCGAAAATAGTATTTGGTCAAAAATTGATATCGAGATGATAGATCATTGAAAACTAAAAAGTAATTGTTAATTCTACATTTGCACTGCTCAGTAGTATGAACCATGGATTTTACACAAGATCGAATCCAGAATTTCTAGACCCGATGTTGAGCACTATACTATTAAGTATACTCATGAAGAGTTCTGAACTGGGACTAAATAACTGAGCTGATTTTCATCCACGACATAAAGATTACTTTTAACGATTAATGGCACCATTAGAAGTGAATTCACTAAGCAAATGTAATGACTTTAAACAAAAAACCTGTAGTGTCGGTTATGTTAAGCCCATATAGCTTATTCTAGCTTCTCGACAAGCCATTTTATTCATCCTTCTTGAGTTACATTTTGACCTTGTTAGTTATTCGCTTATCAATCTTGACTGTTTTTACGTAAGCATATGCGTGTGCCCTTCTTATCACATTCATCACATGTCTGTAACTTATATTTGTGTGACTATAAATCACGATTAAGGCTTGAGTAAATTTAGTTGTCTCATACGCCCTCTCTACCGCGCGTTATTTTGCTTCGCTCTCTTCACTTCGCTTCGTTTCTCCGATAGTTTATTTAGATCAATGATTGTATGAAATATACATAATCGAAATCTATTTTCGAATTTGACTTATTTAATTCAGTTGTTCACTAACGCCAGTTAAGTAGATGATAATATACAAGGATAGCCAGGATGTATATTTTGACAACAATCATTCATACGATCTACCTCGAGTCAGATATTCGAAGGTCACTATAAGTCCATATTAACATGCCTTAACGTAAAGTGTAAGTGACAAAGATAATATGATTGGTTTAGAACAGATTGTAGAACAGTGGGAAATTTGAGCATCCTATCGTCTTTGAAATGAATAAATATAATGAATGACTGGTCCGTATTCACGATGAATAATGATTCTATGTTCTCGTGTTTCTAAAAACGAGAAAATGAGTAGGGTGTTTGTTACTATAAAAAACAGATATACAATTTCAACTTGCCGTGAATCTAACTGAAGCCTTGTTTTTACAAACCAAATAGGATTGGTTAAGGAAGAAGCGGTTATGCCTGTAAAAGTAATGCCAGTAGAGAATATATTAATTGGTCATCGAAACGAAAGAATATTAATGCTACACTAGCCCGCAAAATAAAACATTATCAAAAATAACAATTACGAAAACTGGATAAAAGGGAGTAAAAATGGAAATATGTAAGCAAGAAAAGAATTTTGAAAATTCAACCGGTAATTCAATACAGATGGAATATTTCTATTAAATATCACAAAAAAATCACTGGAGTAATAACAAACGAAAACAACTCTGAACAATATGTGGAGATATGGTGGCCGGCTCAGTCGTAATGTATTAAAACGAGAAAATGAATAGAGAATAGTACAAGTTCAAAATCTCTTCAGATAAAGCAATGAGTGCATATGTATCATCGTGTTTAACTTTAAGCAATGTCAAATAATGTATCTAAGTATAACATCTGAGACACTAACTTTAACCAGTCTTTTCTGCTTCCAAAAACACTCCATAATTTAAAACTAAACTACAAGGTAGGGAGGACTTTGTATTTTACAGAGTGGAATCCATTTGAATCTTTCAAGTTATGAGACATCAGTAAGGTCAGTAGGTCAATGTGATCAGTCACAACGTCTAACTCAATTAAAGGATACTAAATTTATTCACAATGTAATTACTATGCATGAAAGTAACTTACTTATTTACAACTGTTACCCCTTGTAGAGCACAGGCTACCAACCAGCAACCTCCAACTTACTCTGTTCTGAGCTTCCCTTTCCAGTCACTGTGAAGTTCTATTCATTCTTTTGATTCCTAACCCAGGCGCAATGTGTTCATTGGTCTTCCTTTTTCCCTTTAGCCTATAAGATTCCAAGTTAGAAATTGCATCGTGACGTAATTTGATGATTTCCGCAGTGTGTGTACTATCCACCTCTAATGATTGGTGGAGTTTTGTTCTCTGAGCTGGATGTTTTGGTCATGGAGCTTTCATCATCCTTCTGAACGACATTATTACCACAAACTTCAAATAGAAGTGAAGTGTTTGAAATGTCCTCTAGCGTCTTTTCCTGATTTCCTCTTTAACTGGAAATTAGTTTATTCTCTCCCGCAGTAAGTTGTCGCTGGTGTCTGGCCAACAGATTTGGAGTATTTTGTGTCGACAGTTATAAATTCCTGTACATTTTGAGAATGGCTGTAGTAGTTCTCAAAATTTCAGCTCCCTACAACGCAACTGTCTTGATGTTTGTAATGAAAATTCTGACTTAGGTGTTAGCTGGGTTGTTTTGAGTTCCAGATGTAAAAATACTGCCTTTTGCCAATTTGTGCCTTCGCATTTCCCTCAGATCCTCCATGTTTATCAACGATGCTATCCGGGTACGTGAAAGTTCCTACTTCTTCTAGAAGTTAGTGTTTTTCAGCAAGGTTCTTTCCTACGGGACGAAGTTGCTAATCTCATACCCAATCATCCTTCTTTACCCGGGCTTGGGACAGGCAGTAACCTTAGAGGAACTCCAGGTAGAGTAAATTAAATTCTTATTTTTAACCATTAATTCAACACCTCGTTGGGACGAACTTTTCGAGTATAGACGATAAATTAGCCCCAGCTCGTAAAAGAGGTCCCGGTCATTTGATTGATTTCAAATGTGATTCAATCGAACTGGTCACTGATATATATATATATATATATATATATATATATATATATATAAAATGTGTACATAATTTCGATTACTTACTGAATACGGGTTAATGTACGTAGTTCTGAGTTACACTAATTAAGTGATGATTAGCGATGCTACCTATCCGCCAAAACCGAAATAGGTGAGAGTGCGGCTCAAACCTGCTACACACTTGCTTAAAACCTGATTCTATTAACTATTTTCGACAAGATCTGATGAGTTGTTAAAACCAAGCTATTTCGTACACTGTTTCGATTTAATAAATACCCCCAAATGCCCTGGTTCAGCGGAGAGTGGGGAGAGTCCACCCTCCCTCTCGAAATGCTCTCACATGGCCATGCGTATACAGTCACTGTCACGGAAGTTCTACTCACTATCTTCTCGTGGCGAGGGTGTTGTTTACGAAAATCAGAGAACGGAAAACGAATGTCCAGCGCTTTATCCGTGTTGGTGGATATGGAGGATCCAACTAAGGGGTTGGAAATCCCTGATTTCAAACCAATGGTGCACATGGGCTCCAGGATCCTGAGAGAACAAATGCCGTACGAACTTATTGTTGGTCACTGGCCACCATGAGACTGCATATCCGAACATCGCATTGTAGATTAGATCTCTAGGTGAGAGGCTCCAGATGTGGTCCCCTAAGAAAACCACTTGCTTTGGTCTGGGCACCCGGGTAGTATCACAGTCCACACACAAATTAAGTGACTTGTGTGGCGCAAATGTATTCTGTGGCTTTTTGTACCAATATTCATGTGTTCAAATAAATAAATAAAATAAAAAGAAGCGGTATCAAAAACACTTACTTGCGATTCCAGCAGCACATAAATAAACAAATGAAGAACCAGGCTGGAAATATTTTTCAAAGAATAACTGTCCATTATGATATGCACAAAAGTATATACCTCTAAAAATATAACATTAATTGCATCAGTAATTTTAAAATTATGAAGACTGTAGTCATAGTTTAATTCTCGTGTCATAGCTTGTCGGAAGAATAAATACAAACCGTTAATCAATTGGAGTACATCGAAAGCTTTTATTGTTCCGTTACCTTAACATTGGTCGACTGTAATATACTAGAGCGATTATTAATATTATTATTCATAAGAGTGGATACATTTTTTTGTTTGAGGTTTGAACCTGTGTCACCAAAGATTGACTTGAGCCTGGCATTTGACAACCTATGGTGACAACTAACAACCACTGAACAGAAAATCGACTTCTTCAACAACCGATCTCCTTAGTGATAACCTGTGAAGATTAACGTTGAGAGGAAGTACCTAATGGAGTCCGAATTAAACTATACATGGTGTCATATCCACTCGCAGTAAGTACTACGATACAAGGAATATGGATTCTGATAATAAGCTTCATATTTGTATTCAGTTCGAAACTCCACCGAATCCTGAAATAGTGTAGACGTACATCTTAACGATGTTAGTAAAGTTTAGTTCATAGTATGTGCAACAAATAGTCTACAAGATAAAACCTCATGTTTACATAGACACTTTTAGTGAGACTAAACAATGTAAGGCCAGACCCAAGTATAGTTTAGCATTGTGTACGAATAAATCATATTTTAGAACTACATTATCAAAGGAACATAACATTCACATCAACAGCTTCTAACTACTACCCAAGAAAACTAAAATAATTCACAAAGAACACTTAGCTCCTAACTATAAATTATTTGTATTTACATTTTTGTATCTTTTGGTAAGTATTGCTGCGAAAAGGATTACGCTAAACGAGTCTTTAAAGTGAATCTACTGATTATGAGTAAATTCTCAAAAACAAGGTCAATTTCTAAGTTAGGTAGATATAACAAACTGATAACTTTCGATAGAGCAATGAGAAAAATTTATAAAAAGGGCTAATTGCTTCGAACTGATAACTATTTAGAGATCACTGAAACAAAGCACTTACCGTGTTGGCATCACTCCAACAAGAGTAGGAACTAGACCTTTAAAGAGAGCTGTGGGTCCTTCATAACGAAAAATGTCAATTAACGAGCGAAGAATAAGAGATCGGCGAAGTCCATGAGGTTTGACGTTCGAGAAATCGGAAGATGTAGTCGGAATGTTGGGAACTGAGGGTTTTGATGAACTAATACATGAAGAAATCACTGACTTGTGACTGGGACTGGATTTTTGAACATGTTTAGGATCAACTTGTTTTAAACCATACAACATGCATCGTATGCGCGAAAAACGGTGACTGCGATTATAATCTGAGACGACGTTAGGCCTGAATGAAGATGAAGAAAGTACAATTCCCTTTGAAGATTGTAGGCGAACTTTGACAACTTCTAACGGACAAGTTAAAACTGCTCCAACTGTTCCTCCGATGCTATAAGAAATTATAATGAGGTAAATCATTTACCACGACATTTGCAAAAAAACATGTCATTAACTTTATTCATACGAACCCATCAGAAAGATGGTGTATTTATTCAGACTCACCCTCCTCCAATAACATGCACAGCAGTCTCATCGAACATTAGCCCATCCAACGGATGGTGGAGCAACAAGTATCTGATAGTTCCAAATAGAATGTTTTAGACTTATGGAAGATTAGCCACAAAAACGCAAGATATTTCCAGAATAAAGTCTCATAACATGACCCACAAGCCCACCAGCACGAGCGTTGATCGTGGGCACTGTTTGCAATGACCTTCAGTCGATATTATAATTTCCAATAATTGCAAGGTCAGTTTTTTAGGCAGTTTAAAGAGACTCTGGTAGCGAAACATTTTGATCATTTTGTCCCTTTCAGATCGAAGCCGAAGCTAACTACATCAGGGATCATTGGAAGTCAATCATCTTTAATTCTGAGTATCTCAAAGTTGGGAATATAAGTAAATAGTTCAAATGATTCAAATGGTTGTTTCAGTTTTCAGTTTCAGTTTGGGAAGGACAGGAGGCTCGATGGCCTATGTTAGTCCTGGCAATGGTGGTCTCTCAGTTGATCCAACTTTCTTTTAAAACAGTCGACGGATGGAGCCTCAACCACGTGCTGAGGTAGTGAATTCCACTCGTTGATGATTCGATGGGAAAGTCGATAGTCAGCTGACAAGTAATTTGTTCTCGGCTTATGAACTTTTTTGGAGTGTCCTCGTAAATTCTCTGTTTTGGAAGACAAGAAAAATGAGGGCATATCAGGTGCAAATTTATCACTAAGCAATTTGTAGACTGTAATCAAGTCGCCTCTAGTTCTGCGATATGACAACGGGAAAAGGTTCAGCTTGGCCAGTCGAGATTCATACGGAAGCTTCGCTATTGCGGGAACCAGCTTAGTCGCCATTCTCTGAACCTTTTCCAGAAGCTCTCTGTCTTTTTTAAAGCAGGGGCTAGCCGCTTGTATGCAGTACTCAAGTTTAGGACGAACGAACACTGTATACAAAGTCAAAAACGTCTTAGTGTCGACATGACTAAAAGCCCTACGTATTGACCATAACGTTCTAAAACTTTTGGCGGCTATTGCACGGCAGTGTGCAGTAGTCTTTAAGTCTTGACTAACGATAACTCCTAAGTCATTATATGTCTGGACGACAGGTAGCTCAGTGTTATTCATCGTGTATGTATCTGTGCCTTGATGACCGATATGCATCACAACACACTTGGAAGTATTTATCGGCAACTGCCATGTTTGAGACCATTCAGATAACTTCTTCAGGTCATTTTGAAGTTCTAAGCTATCACTCTTACATCGTATCGTTCTCCATATCTTGACATCGTCAGCATATAGCAAGACCGATGATGATAGGAGACAAGGAAGATCATTTACATATAAGAGGAATAGCACTGGCCCCAAAACTGTACCCTGGGGCACTCCACTAAGCACAGTTTCCCAGCTAGATAACTTTGAGTTCACCCTTACTCTTTGTTGACGCCCAACTAAGAAGTCTTTTATCCACATCAATAAATTACCTCCAATCCCGACATGTCTTAACTTATATAACAGCCGGTTGTGCGGAACTTTATCAAAAGCTTTACTGAAATCAATGAAGGCGACGTCTACAGGTAGCTTTTGGTCCTTAAGAGCACACCAACGGAATAGAAGAAGCTTTCGTTTAAAGAGCTTCCGTGTCTAGTAGCAGTGGATCACCAATACTTCCAGGCAGGAACCTAGGTATATTAACGATAATAGAGGGAAAAAGAATTTGGTAACTCATAATAAGATGTTATTCTTAGTCCTTAGGAATAGGTCAAGTTTCCTCTTAAAGGACTATTGTGAAGTCGCTTGAACTAGCTCAATCGAGAACGAATTCCAGCATTTGACAACTCTTAAGGAGTGGAAGTTGTGTCTACAGTCAGTTCTGCTGTGTTGTGTCTCCAGTTTCTGAGTGTTACCCCTTAGGTTTGTATTAGGACTAAGCTTAAGTAAGTGTTTAAGGAGATGTCCATAAGTGTTAAGGATACTACAAGCCATTAGAAAATCACCTCTAAGATGCCTTTGCTCTAATGAGTAAAGGTTGAGTTATTGGAGGCGCTCTTCATAAGGTTTGAATTTAAGTCCCCGAACCGATTTCGTCGCAGATGGACTGCTTTACACTTTGAAGTATTAAAGTTAAGTCCGTTATCGACTGCCCAACTTTGAATTCGAGTCCGATCCTCTTGAAGTTCCTGTATATCGTCTTGGTTGCGAAACTCTCCAAAGTTTCACGTCATCAGCAAAATGTAATAAGTCTGACGATAACTGTTGTGGAAGATCGTTTATATAAATCAAGAAGTGAAGAGCTCCTAGTATTGAGCCATGGCGGAACCCACCAGGACACTAAATAGCTTGGAAGAAAGTGAAGTTAACCCTGACCTTAAAATATCGGTTTTTTTAGGTATGAAGTGAGCCAATCGATTAGAGGTTGTCTGATACCCAATCGTTTGAGCTTATTGATAAGACATATATGGTTAACTCTATCAAAAGCTTTTGAGAAGTCAAGGTAAATGACGTCAAACAAGCATCCTTGCGACCAACGATGCTTGTCCATCTGTCTACCGCAGTCAGCAGGTTGGTCATACAAGAGTGAACCTTCCTGAAACTATGCTGTTGGGGTGAAAAGTTTAAGGATAATAAATAATCGTGTTTACCATCGCATATCAGGGACTCCATAATTTTTGAAGGTATAGAGAGAAGAGCTAGCAGTTGGTCACTTGAAGATTCACTGCGTCAAACATTTTTGAAAATTGGTGTGATGTGAGCCAGCTCCCAAATTTCTGAAAGTTCGCCTCGGCTTAGCGAATGTGAGAATACCACGATAATCGGTGTTGCCAGAATAGAAGCTGCTTCCCTGAGTATGGCAGAATGAACCATATCCGGCCAGGAGAAGTGTCTTTCCTTAGATGCAGCAGTTTCCGGAACACCAAGTCAGCGCTCAGGTTCATTTCGGAAAGTCCTGTGCAGTTGCAGATGAAGCTATCATCCGTATAGCTGATGTGGGTCGGTTGAAATGTCCGAGAGTATTGTTCAGCCAAAAGATTAGCGACATCACCGTCGACGTTGGTCGTGCCATTAGGACCTAGCAGTTGGGAAACTCCAGTTTTGACTTGTCGAAGAAAGTTTGCATAACGGAATAATGTGTTCGGATTGGAGACAAATTTATCCATAAGCTGTATCTGATAATGAAGCCCGTCTTCTTTCAGTGCTTTCGTGCATATGTATTGCCTGTACGCGCCGTTGTTGTCAGTTTTTTTGTATTCTGCCCAACAGTGCCTTCTGCGGCTTAGCAGGCGAAAAGTGCGGTTCTTCACGAATGCGGGCTGCTGACAGCTATGGGGGACTGTTTGAGGAACTGACTGCTTCGTAGCACATAAGAGCGTGTGCAATAAGAAATCCCAATGAGCATCCACATCAAGTAGAACGACCATCATAGGAATTCTCATCAATTAGGAAAGACAGTTTGAACATGAAATCAAAAATTATCTGAAAGGCTCGTTTCCAACAACCAAGAGAGGAACTAGACGATGAGAAGGACATAGCTGTGAATGCATGAAAACTCATATACATTCTTTGATCAAGATTGGACTGAAGGCATATCAAAATGACTCAGTAAAGTCTGTTCTGAGGATATTGATGTTGAAGTACCACACAAACATACATCTGACATGCCAAAAAATGGAACCAGTCCTTATCTAGAAGGCAGCAGTCTTCCGTTGGTTTGACAGTCTAAAATCTCCCAAGTCTCCGAGTTCTGAGAACTACACCTACAGCTACTACCACCACATGTGGACATTATCACTGCACAGGCGAGGGATTTCCCCAGTATATCACTTTCCGGGACTCATACTTCAATGGATTGGAAAGGTACTATATTTAGCCTTATGTGTTACAGGATAAATATAACATTAAATTACGACCGTTTTGTTATGATAGATCTGAATTTATACACAATGGGGTCATGCTTTAAGTATCTAACTTCCTCAGAGCCTCCAAAATCTCACCCCCAGAATAAGCCCTTGAACGTTCGTATGCTGCATCATGAATAGTACTTGTGTTTCTCGTGCTGTATACTTAATAGACCACCTGAGGTCGCTTCTTTAATAAATAATTCATTCCTTAAAACTATGAAAGGGGATGTAAGGCACAACCTTTCCAGGTATTGTTGGCAAGTGATTTCAGTGTTATTGGGCTCTCCTTTTTAGATAATAATGTCAAAATAATTATTGATAGTATGAATTTAATATAAAAGTTCAGATTGTCAATAAATGTAGCTCAAAAGACATGTCCTCTGATAGGAAATTGATTGCGGCACTGTGAGATCAGACATTGAAGGGTTTTCTTGGTTGAGCGACTACAACTCCGTTGACTTGTAAGAATATGTGTCTAGCTAAACTGATGTGATCAGTATCAATCCTTAGAACACAACTATACGGTGTTTATTGTCCTCTCGGACGTCCCAGGGTACTCGATACGTTAACCGTCGAAGTTTGCATCAGAAACAGAACTCTATGGGTATAAAAAGGTGTCTCGTCATGTGTCTGTCAGATTATCCAATCAGGCGTCAATAAGCTGTCAGAGTCACCAGTAGTCTGTCATATTGGTTTCTCGTGATAAGTGAAGTACCACAAAGTTTAAACCTTAGGCAACTATCCTTATTGTTCATTAACGGCCAATCGAACACTGAAGACCAAATGCGAATGAAATACTTGACTTTGACGATATCACTTCCTTCAAGTAGACTTATATAGGACCCAAGACTGAAATACCAAGAGCCTCATCATTCTCAATATCAGTAAACACAGAATACTAATACTAGGAACTGGAGATGTAGTAGTCACCACTAGCTTCCTCGGGAATTTGATACCCTTCATTGTACAAAGTAATTTGGGAACCATGCTTCATGATACTCTAGGTATCTCTTCAAACTGGCATTAAGCGGTTGGTAAAACAAAACCACGTTTGGGGATTCTTCCCAGAATAGCTAGTATCTTGAATCTTTTTCCGGGGTTTGACTAAAAGTTCATCTGCGAAAAATCCACCGCGTTATTTCTTCTTACCTTGAGGAAAATATCACTCTTCTGGAGCGTGCAAAAATATTGTAGATCACCAGCGTAGATGATCTATGTCGAATGATCGGAGACCTACTCGAGTAAGACGGGAACGGTGTGACGAACCAGCTAACGTTGAAGACACACCTCGTGGCCAGCACCTCACATGGACTACCCCCTTGACGTATCAAGGTATCATAGATGCCTTGAAGACGGTACAACACAGAGGACGTTATTACATAAATAACTTAGTCAAAGTAGATACAAGCGAGAGTAAGACCACTGCTGCATGGGCCATTCCATGGTGTACGATGAACTTATGCGCGTTGGTTGCCCTTGACCTTGATAAGTGTTTATGATTTGTTCGATATTCAATGACCCAACCGACGGATGATTTGGCCAGGGCTTGGTGGAATTTCACTGACCCTACAATACTACTGAATAATAGTCGGCGTATCCAGACGAATAAAATCTATATTGACCAATTTTCGTGAGTAATGAGCAGTATGTCGTGCACAAAAGTGATTTTTATAGGATGCATAACCGATCCCCTTCAACCGAGAGTTTGTCCAGCAGAAGTAATAAAGCCAGAGTCAGTGTTAAAGATGAACAACACTATATATTTCAAGGGTTTATTAATTACGCAAACCCTACACAGCTTTCTCAGGAGCTCTCAACTAACAGTCGGTACATCATGGAAGGACTGGTGAGAAATATGATCACGATGCACCACATTTCACTATGACCGAATACATCAGAGGCAATTTTCAGTGACCAATCACATGTAGGAGAACAACCATTAAAAATAGAACTTAAGAGAGCTATTGTTTGCTTCTTGTTTTTCCATGAATGCTGTCAGGAGCCATAGCATCAAAGAACTGTTCTGAAAAGTACACTAACAGGAGCAGCTAAAACGAATCTGTGTGCAGTCGTCTCAGGTAACGTCAAGTTCGGTGGGTTCACGTGTACCTAAAGAAGAGGGTCTGACTTCAGAGAGGTCTGTTTTCAGCAAGATAAATAAAGAAAGTCATGACCTAACCACCCGATTCATCGACAATCATCCAAGATCTTACAATGTACGTATTACAACAGTGGTTGTTACCCACAAGGTGAACGTAAAATGGCGATACGAATTAAGAGTAATCAGAGTTCTCATGTCAGAAAATAAAAGCCTGTTTCATTGACCGTAGTTGGGAAATCAAAGGTTGATCATAGTGACAAACCAGTTCTTAACATCAATGGAAATATTCAAACAAAAGATACAAACTGAATTTAAATCACTTATTCTTCTTCGAATGAAGTATGGTGAGAGCTCTGAGCCCTGAATCCTTCTAAGCATGATATTGGGATGAAAAAAGTTTTCAATAATCAGGTGATACCACAAAATATCTCTGAGGTCACCTCGCTAAATGTCTATAGACTAGTTAGACAAATGACTTGGATGGAAATTGATATGGCATCTGAGCCTTCCAATTAAAAGGGCTTAATATCATAGAATAGAGAGTGAATAAAGTGGTCAGAAGTTTTTTCCGTTCGCTGGTCATAAAAAAGCGAGAACCTGAAAAGGGACTGAGACTGATATAAGACGCTCGCGAAAGAACCTTAAAATTGTAAATTTTCGGATGGTGAGTCCTCATTAGGAAGTGATACCGAAACCACTTTCGGTGCAACACGGACCTACTTAAATGGTCTTCAGATCATTTACACTAACGTTCAGAAATTTTGTGGTGCCAATGTACCCTAACAACACGATTTTTGAAGCCGAGCATATAATTACTGAGGAGACATATTCAACAGTTGACACGAACAGAAGGTTAACTATGGAGAACGCGGGAACACTAACTCAATCTATCGGATGTCATGGATCAGCCTTGCAGGCGTGGTCATCCTTGTGTGACTTTTTTATTCATATTAAATATATTGTTCTATCCCCAGCCTAAATTAGCTTGTTAAATAGTCCAGTTATATCACTAATTGTCACGATACGATAAGTCAGGGTAGACAATGATATGACTTCCACGAAAGATTTTATACATTAGGTAGTCACATCATGATACATCTACAATTTTATGATCAAGTCTACTATTAGAAGAGTACTAATGACGAAGTGGGCCACAATTCTACAATTTCTGAACATATGATCGAAACCAGGTGTGCAAATAATTCCTTTAGGCTGGATGTAACTGCAGTCTGAAAATTGACTGAACCAGTCTGTAGAAAAAAGGGAAGATAATTTTGGAAATTTCACATCAATAAGAGCCGATAGAAACTAGGAGCGTGAAGATGGGGGAGTAACATTGTCTGTCAGAAACACTATCACTCTTACCGTTGACGAAAACATATCCCATGAAGATAGGATAGAGGAACAGAAGTGGCTTAATTGCGGTTTGCAAGTTACCTGTTGATAGCTTGGATCTGACATTCCTTAATGATTTTTGTCTCACGAAACCGAAGTTTTATGAGGACGCTCTAACGATGTTCCCTAGCGCAGAACAAATTAGTTGTCAGCTAACTATCGACGCTCAAGTGAAATTATGGGTAGATGAAAATGCTTACTTAAATATATGTTTGGGGCCCCAACTGCCGACGCAATAAAAATGAATTGTGATCAACTGGAAGATCAACATCGCTAGGACTAGCAAAGACAGGGTAGTCTCCTGTCCTTTCCAAACTGAAGCTGAAACTGAAAGAGCAGGCAATATTTTGGTGGTTTGTAGTAACCAAGTCATGGAACTGTTGGGATATTCAGGAAAATATCCCAAAAATTATCCTGTTAAGGCTAATGATATCCTTGGACATGAAATGGTATTATCTTATTGGTCAATATTTATTTAACGTGTCATTTTCCTACTGGCCATTATTGTACAATGTTATTTTCTATTTTATGGTACGTTGTGGTCTGCTTGACTGGTATATAAACAAAGTATGTTTGAAATATAATGATTCATATCTCCGAGGCTGTGACTTGTGTTCTGGACTCAGTTGGCTGGGCTATACAGGGAAGCGAGACCAATCAGAACCCTAGGTCGTTCTACGTGTTTGCGCGTCTTTGGTCCGATCAATAATTCGCTACCCCTTAATCAGCAGCATTTATTTTTCGCGGTTATAACAGGAACTTCCCACCAAACGATGCGGAGATGGTGCTATCTGTCAACTCTCCTTGAAAAAAGCTCAAAGGTTATCATTGTTCTGTAGGTAGTAAGAGGGATTACTGTAAAAGTTATTCATCAGTTCCTTCTGTTATTAATTTTCAAGTATATAGCTCATCTGTTTTCAAAAGAAATATAACAAGATCAATAGCCATCCAAAAACAAGCTTCCCCCCATCCCATTGAAAAAACAATCAATTCTGTCTAGTAAAAGTGTGTCTACATGCCCTTTGGGAATACAGAGGTAAATAGGTACAGCATAGGGGAAGTACCTGTACCTGTGTTCCCGCCTCATAATGATTTTGGGGTGACAGTGGGTCTTGGTCATAATATCATGACCCACTGCCGGGAGTTTGCAGCTAAGAGGTTTAGAACACTGTGGGCTTTAAGACGGACATTCGCCAAGTTAGATATTGCCATGTTCATGACAATATACACAACCCGGTTAAACAGGTGACTTGGATATCCTGGAAAAAATACAGAGGACAGCTACTTCTGTAGATCCCGGACCGCGGGGTTTTCCATTCAAATATGTGCTTGAAAAGCTAGACCTCTTTACTCTGTCCTACGGCAGAGTTGGTGACCTGATTTTCACTCATATAATGTCTAGAAATGAGTTTGAGCCTGACTTATTCTCTCTTTTTCTTCCTACCAGATCGAAAAGACTTAAGGGACAAAGCAGGTGAGTAGAAAAACCAAGAACGAACAAAATAGCTGTGGTATAAAGGTTTTCTCACCGAGTCAACGATTCTTGAAACCTGTTGCCCGAAGCGGCGGTGTTCGTATCTTCAATTGACTCATTCAAAAAAGATAGACACTCAGAGAAGCATTCTAGAAGAGGAATAACATAGGCTGTAGGCCTTCTGTTCCAATTACACTGATCTGATTCTGAACGGAATAGCGCTATATTCCAGGAGTACGCTACATCTGGGCGTCAGTGCTTATTTTGTGTCACGGTCGTGCCATGTGTCCATAATTGATTGTCAAGGCAGCGGTGACTTAAAAACTGTTTTTTTTGTTGAAATACCAAACTTTAAGCTCCAATGAATAATAGATTTCACATTTTAAAATGGTGTTGCCCTCATAGTTAAGTGGTAGAAGTATAGTGTGGACGAATTCTCAGCTAGTTATTAACCCTGAAAACAGCTTTATTAAGTGGTTAGTTTGCGGCAAAAAGATAGTTATGTGAATGGTAGATAGATTTCACATAGTTAATAAGTCTGGATGTCTTCTACAGGTTACTCTGCCTGTTAAGCGGAAAATAATCAAGAGATCTCTCCCTTTGAATATCAGCTCTCCGTCTTCTCAAATTTTGAAGAGGATAAAAACAGTTAACTAGGGTGGGGATTAGAGGTTTAGAATTTTCATCTAGAAAGGGACATTGGCTATAATGCAGACATGTTCTGTAGCCAGGATGATGAATGATTTTAGCGCAAAGCATAGAGTTGTTTATGTGCTTAGTTTGTTCTAAAAACGATTTTTCATGGTTCAGGGGTGTTATTGATTTGCCCGTTATATTCAATTTACAGAAACATTCGTCGGTATTTGATCAACTTAATAAGAAGGTAGTACACCTACGTCAATTATACACATATACTTTCAAAAAAAACCCATCTAAATCTCATCGTAGGTGGTTCGGGTTAAGTATCCATCTCTTAATCAACGGGTAAGTACACTTCACGATCGTTTCGTATTACAACTGCAGAACATGTGTTATGAAGGTTGAAGAGGCATCCTTAACCCATTGCTTGTGTATGAAAAAAATACTTATTGAGTGCAATCTTAACCACTTCCTCCATTGACGCCTATTTCTGACTGGTATAGAAATAAGTTGATAAAATGCTGAGTGGTTAGATGAAGTTATGACACTTCACGAGACCACTGATCTTAATCTGAGTCTCATCGTTAGGTGAAGATTTCTTGGTAGGGATCTACACAATATTCGTAATCAATAGGTGACTTGTAAAAGGATGCGAAACTGTCCATTACGGTGCTTCCCCCCTCTCAGTTGGCAGTTTCATTTGACACAACTAGTACTAGATTATTACCAATTTTGTTTACTTCGTAGACCGATCCAGTTGTGTAATTTTTAATCGATAATGCGATATCAAAAAGTAACGTAAGTAATGCTTATGGGATTTCAAGCACTCTATAACAACAGACTAAATGTGTGAGAAAACGAAAAATTTATGTCACGTCGATTAGGAGAAGTGATTAATAGTATTTGCACCGAATAAATATTGTTCATAAACAATCTAATTAGATGGCCAGCCATACATAAAAGCAGATATGTATTCATAAAATGTACGTAATTAGTTCATAATTAGTAGGTCGGTGGTTAATGCTTTTGTCTTTTTTTCCATTAAATCTGGATCCACCTACTTCGGTTTGAGTAACCGGGTAATATAATTAGCTCTTACACCTTAAGTGTGACTCACCAAAATACCTACTGAATAAGTTGATTGATTTTTTCCCGAAACTAGTCATTATTAACAGACAATAACGATTGAAATAAAATAATTCATTTAAGGTTGCATACTCATCTAGCTTCATACCAGTTCACAGAAGTAGGGGGTTACACAGTCTTGTCATAATTAAGATTAGTTAGATTCGGTTTGCTAACTAGTAATACTCATAGCTGTCCAATTCGTGCCCAAGTGGTCAAGTATGTACCATTATTAAAGTCAAAGCGAACTGGGTAAGCACGATCTAAGGCATTTTATTTGCAACTTGAATCAAGCGCGGAATAATGTACAGTTGGTATAGGACCTGGCACAAATGTACACTAGTCCAAATTACCACTCCGTATCAGCGTAGAGAGATGAAATTGACAAAATGAATGTCGAGGCAGCAGAAGTATTAATGCTGGCAAATATAACAAATAGAGAACATCGTTCGAAAAGACATAAATGTACAGAATAAAAAGTTTATAAATATATATTGAAACCCAGTATTCAGGGCTAAATAAAAATTCACCTACCTTAGTCCTATTGATTTTAAGCCATCACTCGACGTAGGCAGTCTATATCTACGAACATGGCCTATAGTGTGGGTTAATAACCTCATAAAATGATTACGCGCCTTGCTATGAGTACCCTTAGATTTTCTCCAACCTGCTGTCAGTTAAGATTGCGCGTCTCGATAGGTGGTGCTTATGGCACATGTACTACATGTTTCAGCATCAAACCTTACATTTAAAAAGCTTGCTAACGCTCCACTATCATATTATTGTTAAAATAATTTTAATCAGCTTTGAGGCTTTTTTATAAGTCCATTAACCTTTGAAGTTCTTTTACTCAAGATTGTTGTTGAGATTTAGTATTTTTCTCCTTTAGTCACCTTATTCAATGTCAGTACGCATAGAAAAGACACCCTTTACAAATTGCAATGAGAATCTTATTCAGAATCACGAATTCAATGAGGAGTCTCAGAAAAATGAAGATAGTCGCAAATCTATAGAAGTTGCCGAGTATTTACTGGATAAAAAGCTCTTTTTGTCTGCTCTCGAGTACTATTTTGAACAGTTGGAGCGTGGTAAAAGTATAAAACTTTTGCATGAGTTCTTCACTAGTCCAAATTTTGTTGATAATTTGAACTTATCTTCTGTGGAGTCATCCAGTTTGTTGATGGGTAAGCAAATATGTTTTTTTGATTATGTATGTAGGGAAATATCCAAGCCTATCCTCTTTGGATTCGTCAGATATTGGACGGATATCAGATGATGGGAATACACTTGAAGAAAAACTAAAAGGTATCTTTTTTAAATTCTAAAATAAATCACGCCTGTTTACTTTTCTTCTAGTACTTGAATATGAGTTGCGCAAGAAGAATGATGAAATAAGTTCATTACGGAATGAGTTAACCAGTTTGGTAGCATGCGGATATAAAGGTGATGTACAATCTTCACAAACTTCAGGTAATTCTATTTACAGGTTATTGTTGCTCAACTTTATGTATTATAGAAACAAGTGTAGTTTTAATTCTTCTTTTCCGAAACAAGAAGTGAGCTGCTTACTTAGTCTAAATTTGTGTTAAAATGATAACAAAATCACTTTCACAGTTCTTTGGATTAGAAAAGCGAGGTTACAGAACACTCAATAAATCCATTTTTATTTTTATCATAAGGATACTTAAAGTATGAAATATTAAGACACCTTTGAACTACAATTATGATGTTAAAGGCTAGATATATACTAATCAAATGTAGGTCACAAAATTGATGCCTACAGCTTCATAGTCTTTAACAGATGTACGCTTCTCTTTTCCCACTGATTGTTTCGAATAATTCGATGTAAAACGCCTTGAGTCCATTGGTCAGTCGAATGCAACATAGAACCTGGTATGTATGTACATCTTTCCAAGTTCTCATAACCGATTATCACGGCAAGATAAAATTGTTTAGGCAAATCGCAGAGGTAGTAACAGTACTAGCGATAATAAAACAGATTAAGCATCGAAGATACGATTCGTGGAGGAAATATAAATTAATAAAATAAAAAAATTATAAGGAATTTAGAAACTTAAAACCTAGGTGAATACAAAGAGTGGATGTACTTGTGCGATCACAGACAATTTTGAGCAATGTCATTCAAAATTTCTTACCGCTAGTTACGATAATTAAGCTTACCTTGGTCAGGTATGTACTGCACATCTATTTCATAGTTCAATGACTGATGGTACATTTTGGTTTGGCCTCCCTTAGCTTTCTTCTAGCCTAATCTTACACCAGATGACATCGCCGGCCGAAGTAGGCGGTTACTCTATGCTCCCGAAATACACGAGCTAATCGAGCCTTCTAAATTCGTGCTGAGATTTCGTCAGGTACCAAACCATAAGGATCTATGGAAGTGAAGTAGTCGATGCTCCCAACTACTTCACTCACTACCGTTAATTTAGGTGGTGACACAAACAAGTCCTGAAGTAACATTTAACATTTGGAGGGAGAGAATCGCATCCCAAACATGCATTTTGAAGCTTAGCTTCAACAAAATGTAACTAGTAGTAAATTCATTGGGTTATAATTCTCAATTCCTATTTAGTTGTACACTAATTATCAAAGGCGGTAAATCATGCTGTAGTTAAATACTTTGTTATCGGGTGTGTCTAGTAATATTGAAAATGTATTCATCGTGCCCTATAAGCTTTATTTTTGTCGAAAGGTAATTGGACCTTAGTTCATGTAGCTTTGTTTGAAAACGACTGATTAAAATGCAAGTACTTGAAAGAACTGCGGTCTCTGGGTCTAGAAAAAGTAATTATCACACCACTGGCACAATTTATATTCAGTCATTCTAAAATTAATTTTGGGCTTTTGTTAGATATCAAAGATAAATGTCTCAAATTATTTTAACTGAACTCAGAATTAAATAAAGCACATATCCAACCATAAAATTTACTTAAGTAACTTAAACCAACTGGTATTATCGAGTAGACTAATATAATTGTACAGAAAGAATTGACAACAATTACGATTGCCCTTTCTCGACCGTTGTTGCTACCTTTACGTGGCGGTCGGGCTTGCCTATCGTGATGAAGCAACCGAGCTATACTGGCTGGAACAACCGTTCCTCAAGGTCCTACCATGTCAGACAGGTCGGTTGAAGAGCGGTAAGACTAAAAGCAACAAACCCAAGGTCCGAAGGCGAAGTCGTACTGCTGACTGTACAGAGGTGTGACAGCAGTAAGGTGTTTCCTTCAGACAACCAGCATGACAGCGATGCTGCCTTCCCACAAGGAGGGGTGGGGTTAGAAAAGGTCGGCTCTAAAAATACACACCGCCTTATCCCACGGATATCCGTCTCCGGCGGTAAGGTCCCAAAAAGTACGGAGCTAACACAAAAATTACTCATAAAAAGGTTGTGTGTGACCGACCTCAAGCAGTTGTCCCTTGGGCACTGCGGTCACGCTTCCAGGTCACTAAGACCACCTCTAATCCAATTTCCTTTTCAGGTACCTCCAAAACAACCCTTCCACGGTGTGAGCAACCGGGAAGTGATAACTGCCCTCATACCTCTAACAGCACTCAAGATCACTGTATTCATGATCAACCTGCATCTTCACTTCCTATTATTCCTCCTACATCGACTTTCACCTCTAAACTTATTTTTTCGGCTTCCTCCTCAAGTGTCACTATAGCCAACGATTCTAGTGCTCAGAACACTGTCCCAGGTCTACTGAAACCTCACTCCAAACTACACATTGGAGCCTTCAAATCAGTCAACAGGCTTCCTTGGCTAGAACCCTAGAGTCTCTTTCCATTGATGTATTCTGTGTCTCTGAAACACACATACAGGATCCCAGTGTGATCATTCACTTGACCTCACCTCGGCAAAACGGAGAGCCAACGAGATACACCCTCCGTGTCTCTGGTGTTTCGACGGCCAGCTCTCGTGAACTGGCAGGAGTAGGGATAGCACTCAGCATGAGGGCGGAACAAGCACCGTTAGAGTGGATCCCCGTTAACAGTCGTCTATGTGCTGTTCGGTTAAACGGCTCCGTAAGAACCCGGAAGGATAGGGACACACGTCGTTGCCTTTTTGTCGTTTCTGCCTACGCTCCCACCGACTGCAGCTCAGATGAAGTGAAAGATGAATTTTACAGAAAGCTATCTGAACTTCTTTAGAAAGCTAAACGTTCAAACATAGTACTCGTAGCAGGTGACTTTAATGCCCAGATAGGTAGTTTAAACCAAACAGAAAGGCATTTAGGTGGGTATTTTAGTATTCCGACACAACGAACAGATAATGGTGATCGTCTGCTGCAACTGTGCTCAGACAATCGTTTATTTTTAGCAAACACAAATTTTAAGCATAAGGAGAGACATCGTCTAACATGGCGACTCCCTACACTAAACCAACGATGGACTGAAATAGACCATATTGCCATCAGTCATCGTTGGAGAGGGTCGGTAGAAGATTGTCGCTCATTCTGGAGTACCTGCTTGGACTCCGACCACGCCCTAATACGGGCACACATCTGCTTGCGCCTCACTGGACGCAAAAAAGCCACAGTAAAAAGACCCATTAGAACTGGATTGAGTAGCGAGGAAACCAAAAGCAGGTTCCAAAAACAACTGAGGTCACAATTAGGTAGTTCTGAGAACGAGGTTGACCCAGATGTTGCTTGGAAAGCCATACAAACAGCTGTGGAAACAGCAGTGACATCCATCAGTGATTTAAACCACAGGGTTACAAAGAACCAATGGACTTCTTCTAGGTCTATTGCACTGATGGATTCTCGTAAACTCATCCCATCAGGCTCTGAACACGATGAAGAGCGACAACAAATCAGATCTAGGTTAACCAAAAGTCTGAGGAACGACCATGAGCAGTGGTGGGCAACGAAAGCAAAAGAGATGGAAAAGGCGGCGGCTATAGGGAACACAAGACAGCTCTACAGACTAATAAAAGAAACTGGAATTAATAAGTCAAGTGTAAGTCAGACTATTTCGGAAAAAGACGACACCCTCATCCGCTCTCAGTCCAGACGTTTAGAACGATGGGCGGAAAATTTCAAAGGACAGTTCAGCTGGCCTACAGCTACTCTACAACTACCCTCCATTCCCAGGTGGTGTGAATGGAACATTGAAGTAGGTCCACCAACTCTAGCTGAGGTTCAAAAGGCTATAGTTAATCTGAAACGAGGAAAGGCATCTGGTCCAGATGGATTGGCTCTAGAGGTCTTTAAGGATGGTGGTCCAATTTTAGCGATTAGGTTGACTAATATTTTAGCTAAGATCTGGGAATTAGACGTTATTCCATCTGACTGGTCACAATCACTTATCGTCCCAATATATAAGAGAGGGTTAAAATCATCCTGTGACAACCACAGAGGGATTAGTTTAACTAATATAGTATCTAAAATACTAGCCTCGATAATTATTAGACGCCTGACTAAGACTCGTAAACTGCAAACACGAGAGAATCAAGCTGGCTTCAGACATGGTCGTGGCTGCATCGACCACATATTCACCATTCATCAGGTTCTAGAACATAGGGATACTTATCGGCGTCCGACAATGGTGATCTTTCTTGACTTAAAAGCAGCGTTTGACTCGGTAGACCGCGAGATTCTGTGTCAGTGTCTGTCATTGAAAGATGTACCTCAGAAGTACATAAACCTTGTGAAGGCTCTTTATTCGAACACTACTAGTGGAGTCAGAACTTATGGCGAACTGTCATCTGATTTTGCAACCTCAAGTGGTGTCCGGCAAGGCTGTCCACTATCACAATTTTTGTTCAACTTCATCATAGACCTGCTGCTGGAAATAACGTTCTCGTTGACTGAATTTTCGGGCAATGATCTCCTTCCAGGAGATCCACTTATCGACTTAGAATACGCAGATGATATAGTCCTGTTTGGTGAAGACGCTGATAAAATGCGTAGTCTTTTGGTAGCACTAAGCAACAATGCCAGGATGTTTGGAATGCGCTTCTCTCCCTCTAAATGCAAGTTGTTGCTTCAGGACTGGTCTGCGTCAACACCTGAACTAAAGATAGGGAGTGAAGTAGTCGAACACGTTGTCAACTTCACTTATCTTGGAAGTCTGATCAGCCCTAATGGTTTGGTGTCTGACAAAATCTCAGCACGGATTCTAAAAGCTAGCTTGGCTTTTGCCAACTTACGTCACCTATGGCGAAGGCGAGATATCCGTCTATCAATAAAAGGATGAGTATACCGCGCAGCAGTCCGTTCTGTTTTAATTTACGGCGGCGAAACATGGCCATTAAGAGTAGAAGACACTCGTAAGCTACTAGTATTTGACCACAGATGCCTTAGAAATATTGCTGGCGTCTGCTGGGATCACCGGGTAAGTAATAGTGAGGTTAGACGCAGGGTATTAGGGAATGATGGTAAATCAGTTGATAAGGTTGTGAATCTTCATCGACTGAGATGGTTGGGCCAGGTGTTACGTATGCCTGAACACTGATTACCACAACGCTCAATGCTGACTAGTGTTGAAGACGGATGGAAGAAAGTTAGGGGTGGCCAAACCAAAACGTGGCATCAGTGCTTGAAGTCACTAACTTCTAGTCTGAGCCATGTTGGTAGATGCAGACTACTTGGTTGGTGTCCGCGTGACTATCGTAACCAATGGTTGGAGACTCTTGGTGACATGGCTGAGAATCGATCACAATGGCGTAGGTGTATACACTCTCTGTCTTCCCTTAAACTAAGAGAATAAAATCGCTTCATATCTTTCTTTCTATGAAATAATTAATTATTTTAGCATTTTGTTTATTTCTTTATTTGATTACTTCTTATTAATTTGCCTCTATCTAACGCAAAATTCTAGTGTGATATATATTTTTTTCTGATGAAATCGTTGGCTAACAGTTTTAATCAATGGACTGATTTATTATTTTATTTTTGTATAATTTAAGCAAGTAGTCAACATTTAATTGTTCCTTTGTTTTCCATTGATATATTTTGTTTCTTTATTGTTCCTTTACAGATTCTATTTTGAATAATCATTTTCGGTCGAATTTTAACAATGGTACTCAAAAAACCCTACCTCATGAACTACGTGCAATATCATTTTTAATTAATGAATATTTTTTGGAACAAAATTTTCGTTTAACTGCAATACAATTTGCTGAAGAAGTAGAAGAACATGGTCTGCATAGTCTGGAATCATGGCATGAGGTAAATGTTGAAAATAATAACTTTTTTTAGAGATAGTTATCAGAATCATTCATATACATTATCGTATCGGCACAAAATGTAAACTAGGGTACACATTTCAGGCGTGTACCAAGAAATAACCACATCTTTCATACACTTAATATAATTGTAACTGTCATTTTAAAATGTAGACATGTAATTTTTCACTATCACTTTTAGGTTTGAGGTTGTGCCCTATTTAGATTGATTTACGTGAACATGTAGTATCAATCTCTGTAATCTATAAACGTGATTAATAAATTAATTTTACTTTATAAGATGTATTCATCACAGATTGATATCAGTTGAGGTACCATTTAGAATCAATGGAGACTGTACAGCTCCTCAGTAGTGCAGGCTAACTGTTGGATATTGACCCAGTAGTTTTAATGATTAGGCGTTCATCGCGAGAACTGAAGGTTCTGGGATTGTTGGTATGCACTAATGAGAAGTCCCATACTAAAATGAAACAGCCAACCAATGCTACCTTCTTCTCAACGGTACATCAACGGAGATCAATCTGTGACTAATACAATCTACAAATCAAACTAATCTCCACAAAATCCCTTCAAGTGAATTAATTTTATTTTGCTTTATTTAAGTACGTGTGTGTAGATTTGTGGAAATCATTTACCTTTAAGTTGTCATTATTATTCTGTTGTTCGCATTCATGAATTACATGAACTTGGTATAGGTTTCCCGTGCCACATTAAACATTTAAAAAATAGATTGATTTTTATGAATATAGATCACCGTCATATATGATCTATTTGTTCATTTCTTTGTATAATCTTTAAAAACTTTTGAGTTATTTAACTTGACAGTGGCTTTCACCAGATCTTTTAAAGGTTTAGTACTTTTATTTTATAGCAATAGGTTTTATGCAGCAAAATGACAACTTAAATGAACTCATTCACTAGGTACTTGGATGTGGGCCACACTCTAAGTATGAGGGCTAACGATACTACCCGGTCGTCCAAACTGAAATGGGTGGGATAGCAGGGTTCTAATCGGAGACTCAATTGCTGAACACCAAACGCTCTAACCACTAAGCTAGCGTTGTCTAACAGCTATAATTGTGACCTACACCTTAACACGCTAAGCTGTTATTGTCGATTATAGTCACATCTACTATCAATGTTGTTGATTATAATATTTTACTTTAGCTCTTTATTTGATGAGAACAAAAAGAGTGATTCATAAATTCCTAAAATAGTTACTGGGACTTGGAAGGGGTAGGTAGCATGGACGTGGTGAATCCCATTTAGGCAACTACACCTTTACACATGGTTCAAAGTAAGTCAATAATTTTATGCTTTGAACTCATGTCTTATTGTAATTGTCCTTTTTTTTTCCGACATACTACTGACTAAACAAATCAAACAGATAAAGTGTTGGATTTTTATTTCGAAAGTTTTCATTTCGGTTTATCTTGTATTTGTATTCCAAACTGTGTCATTAACTATTTTGCTGTCTATGTTTTCTTGATCTAAATTAAGGTTGCAATAAATTTACGGAAACCTCCAAGCTTATTGTCTTTACTCAGGTTATATTGGAATCCTTCTTCTGTTTCACAATCATCACAAATTTCATCAAATCGAGATGTACCAAATTGTAAATTTTGTGAAGTTGCTGTTCAGACTGAATCTGATCAAAATGTTTATACTGTTACAGCTGGTTTTAATGAATATTCCTCAATAGAAATTCAAGCAAAAGTATGATTAGCTTCTTGTAAAGATATTTCCATTTGGTTTATTCCAGTTATTTGTAATTACAAAGTTTTTAAAATTCATAGCATTTATTGTTACCTTATATTTTTTATGTTATTTAGACAAGTACTGACTACGATAAAAAAAAAGTAGATTAGTACAATTGCCGTTTAGTATTAACTTGATCATATGTCTGGAATATACGGCGAAAAAATCACATTGTAAATCTTTGAATTAGGTAGTGTCATTTTTAACTGCTTTCTTCTGAATCCTGTGAAGTATATGCGCACTTGCGTTGTTTTAATTTTAAAATATTCTAACACAGTTGTATAGAAACAGTTTATCACATTTGCGATACAATCAGTTTAATCCGAAATCTCGTAAGAGTACTCTAGGTTTGTTCTCATATCCTGGTATGAATTGTATGTGATGCTAATATCATAAACTGTTCTCTAACTATCCATAGTTTTGTATTTACGTAAATGGAAAAATTATAATATTAAATCATTCATGTATAATTATAAAGCAGTCTTTTGGGTTTTGTGAAAGTATCCATACATTTTCTCATGTATGTCTCTTAACATGTATCAACTTACTTGCTATAAAAGCACTTGTTAAATACTTTGTAACTTATTTCTCACTGTCTGTAGCAAATTAAAAAATAGGATTAAATCGATACCAAATTAATATTAGTTTTTTTCTCTTGTCTTACATTTTATTGACACGACCGTAGCTGGTATCTTAATATAGTGGTTCGGACGTGCCTACGTGCCCAGTTGAGCTGTATTTGCAAGTACATTTGTCCTTTCAGATTCTACCATGCCAAATAAGTTGGTCGGAGAACTGTAATATTAAAGCAATAACTTAAGGTCCGAAGGCTAAGTTTGACTTCCAACTATACCGGCATCACCATCTATAGCGTCGCTGCATCTTCTGCGCTGATTATGTTGGGACAACTTAAACCGATGCTTATAACTACTTATGAATGGTCTTTTGGTAATGGTAACATTCATAGTCTGTAACTAAGTTTGCTATACTTCTTAATCTATCTATTTAGATGTTACCAAATAGTCCAAATTTTGTGTAACTTTATTCACTTTTATTACTGAATTAACAAAAAGAGCGAGATAATATATATGGACAGGTTAAACAGTCTTAGTGTTACAACAGAAATATCGGTTTCAGGTAAATAATGATAAGAATCGTGAATGATGACATTCAATTCTATTTCTTCTTTAAATACTTTTAAATATTATTCAGTTATTTCAACACTCATGAAGTGTTATCATTTAATCACTATTTATGATTATTTAAGCTAATATATCATTTAGTTGTAATTGATATCACATTGTTTTATGTAACTAGGCTCATTCCATTAATTTTGAACAACATCTATCTGTTCAAGTATACAAGCCTATTGTAACGAACTTACAGGACAAGTTTTTACAAGCCTGTACACTTGTACAAACTAGTATAAGGCTAGACAATCATGTGAAAAGTAAATGCATCATTTCTATCCTATGAGTTATTTTGTTTTTATTCATATGGTTAATTATGAAGCTCTATCCATGTTCATTTTCAAATATATACGAATGTTTATCTATCTTATCACATTAAGTCTATAAATTATTTATATTCACTACATATATTTTGTCTTCGTTCACTTCATTCAACATCATTCAAAACACACACACTTCCTTTGCTTTTTTGAACTTTGCACGTTTGATTTATCGTTAAAGCAGAGCATTTGTAATGCACTACCCTCTGACACCTCGTATTCCGATTTCTGTTTTCACACTGTTGATAATCGTAGTGGCAAAGTTGTTCTAGTTATCCAATGATACGATGTTATCAGGAATGATTATGTATTGCGAGTTAGATCTAGTTTCACTTTGATCATTAGGTTAAGTGTTTTGACGTCAAGATGCACTATATTTGGTATTTAGTAATTCGAGTTGTAAGGACCAATTCGAACCTAGATTTCACACAAGTTGGCACTTACCAGCAAAGTGTATTTGCAGTTTATCAGTGAGATTCGAACTCATTTTATTCAATTTCAGTCAGAGTTCGATCATTGTTAAAATGTAAACAATGTAATATCAGTTACTATTCAGTATTGATGAACCAGCGTGAATATGTACATTGAAAAACATTAATAGTAAAATTATCACTGAATTATGTGGAAAGCACTTGTTACGTATTGGTAATGTAGAAGGGTTACTTTATGTTTAATATACTTCGCTTCCAACCACTGAGTCTCAGATTCAAATTCTATGTTTTCGTCTACATCGATTTAAGTAGACTGGTCGTATTACTTTCCCTCAATTGAAAATTGCTTCTTCGCTTTGCTCCAGAACTATGAAAATAATCAACTATATCCACTAATTTGGCTTTACACTAACTGTGATTGTCTAAATATATATAGGGAAAAGGGTAAATAATTGATTATCAGGTCAAACGTTCGTGTTATCTGTTCTTAATGATGAAGGCAAATATTTACCTCGCGCGCGAGCGCTTAACCATTAGACCACTGAGCCGGCCAACATCCAATGGTGTTAATGTCTAACTTCAACCAATCCACGAAATTGCGTCACCGTACACCATTTTCTTCAGTGAGCTGATATCTCACAACAGACCTGGTTGAATTCCACTGGTCACAGCTTCCAGGTTTTCCATGGTGATCTAGCTTCAATTGATTCATGATTTCAACTACTGAAATTATTAAAATCTCCATAAAACCCCTTCTGATAATAATCATCTGCTCACTAGTGACTGACTTCAAGAGGCATTTCCTGGAGTTCTAGTGAGAATCAATCTAAAGATAAAATTCCCCCTCTTCATAAGTTTATTTTGAATAGAATGGTTATTATCAAATCTTTAGTGTAAATTAATGATGTGATATAATATAACCTGTTTTAAGAAAACAACAAAGTAGACTAACGTTCATCTTCCTTAACACTGAATAGTGTATATATATGCATAAGGTTCGGATTTATATGTAGTAAAACTATTTAGCATTCTCATAAGTCTCGTTTCTATAATTGTTGACACTAATTATCAAGGGATTTGAGCCTGTGTCAGTCAGAGACATTGTCATTGGAATATTTGGATCGTGGTTAACCTTTGAAACAGTGATATACATACATTCCATTACCATTGAGTGAGCAATGACTACTTTCTTATATATTTAGTCCTTATTGCTGATCAGTCATCTTCCATCGATCAAGTTGGACCACCAGTTAGTAAGTGGTTAACTGATAGTATATTTTAATTTCCAATAGAGATTTTTATCTAGGCTCAACTTTAATAATTCATCGAGAATTCGTGGTCTTTTAATCTAGTATTGTTTAATTTTAGCCTTTTTTTTGTCTCACAGTTTTTCCGACTGTTCTTTGTTAACTGATTAAATTTCTACTTCAATTAAAGAATATATTTCTTTCAACTATGCAAAATTTTTAGAATGAGGAGATTTCATCGTTAAAATCGAAAATCAGTCACTTAGAATTACAGTATTCAACTGCTTCACAAAACACCAGGGATTTACGTAATCAACTTATTTGTCTTAAACGGTAAGTGTTTTACTTGCATCGTAAGTAATCTATTCTAGTTATTTTTGTCTATTCTCACATGGATGATGTCACACCTTCATTATTTGTATGCTAATAATTAACCAACTCACTTTATAGTCGATGTTAAGCCAATTTCAATATTCATTGTCCAATAGTTTCTGTATGATTTTCTTAGTGATTTGGGCTTACGTCATCTAGAAAATCTTTTCTACAAGTGTCAAGTTAATCGGTTCTAATTTCAAATTGACTGTCCTCAATATCTATATTACTTTTATGGGCACTCATATTTTTATCGATTATCATTCTGGCCTTGTTTCTGACGATGTAGTTGATGGACCTCTGTGTTATAGGCTGATAGATTGAATCTTTATCGCCATGTCTATTGACTGTAGATCAATATGAGTGTCAAAAGTTTTTAGATTGTCTTAAAATTTCCCTCACTTGGGATTCTAAAATTCAAATTATGAGGGAGTTTTATGAAGATTGGTTTGATTTTCAATTTCATTGAGCGTACCATTGAAAACCAGGGGTACTAGACAACTATTTCGTCCCCGTAAGGAACTTCCCAGAACTCTGAGCCATGTTGGTAGATACAGACTACTTGGTTGGGGTCCGCGTGACTATCGTAACCAATGGTTGGAGACTGTAGGTGAGATGGTTCAGAATCGATCACAATGGTGTAGATGTATACACTCTCTGTCTTCCCTTAAACTATGAAATGAAAATCGCTTCATATTTTTCTTTCTATGAACTAATTCTTTCTTCTTGTATTATGTCTTTATGTGCAATCTCTCTTTTATATATTAACACCATTTAATTAACTACTTCTATGAATCCGGTGTTCATCTTGTTGTGCTAACGAGGTGTGGCAACTTGGACTGATGTATATATGTGCCTGGTCCTACGTTGTAGCTGACTGACTGATCCATTGGTTCTAGTGATTAAGCTTTCGCTGAGAGACCTGAAGGTCTTAGGTTCTCATTTCTGGTGCGGCCATAGATGTGCACTGCTAAGAATCCTCATACTAAGGGAAGAGAGATGTCCATTCCCTCTTGATTTCAAGGTTACTCCTAATAAGATCAACCCGTGACGAATACTACTTACCAATTTCAGATTTAGTTGAATTTTCAAAATCAAATAGAGTATACTGTTTTACAGTTATTCACATCATTTATTAAAAATACATCTTATGTATTTTTCTAACTTATCAGTGAACACATTGAAATGATAGATAAAACATTATCAAATAAATACACTACTACGACAAATGCAAACACCACTGTGATAAAGGTGAGTGATTCAGATGACGAATGCAATAACCAATCAAGCCTAAGTGACAATGACAGTGTTTCATATTCATCTCCTGGAAAATTTGGTTTTACTGATCGAACTAATAAATCTTGTCGGTAAGTCGTTTATTTTTCTTAATAATTTAATCTTAATGCACTAATGTGGCATGAAAACTTGATACAACACATATATGTCAGGTTCTACGTTACTTATGGCTGACTGAGGCAGTTTAGTTGTTTAATTAATTAACTTTGTGTTTGCATGTGCATGGTAGACCATGTAAGTTTCTTGCCATTCACATCTTAATAATTGGTTATATTTCTCGACTTTTTCGCATCATTCGACATTTAATTTAATCCATTTTGCCCAGCGAATCTTCATTGACTGCAGTGAAGTTGGGATACTTACTTACTTACGCCTGTTACTCCTCGTGAAGGAACATAGGCCGCTCACCAGCATTCTCCATCCAACACTGTCCTGGGCAATCCTTTCCAGCTCCTTCCAGTTGTTATTCATCATTTTCATATCTGCTTCTATTTCCCGACGTAATGCGTTCCTTGGCCTTCCTCTTTTCCGCTTCCCTTCAGGATTCCAAGTTATGGCTTGCCTCGTGATGCAGTTTGATGATTTGCGTAATTTATTTGTTACTGGTTCTCGCTAATATCTTGTCTGCTATGAGGGCAACCTGATGGAGTGGTGCGTTCTCGAGCAGAGCCGTCACAGTTGGCTGGATGTGAACCGGTAGCGACTCGTGCCACAGTTCTTTAACTATTTCTGATTCAGCTACTGTTGGTCCTGCAAGAGATTGCAGGCGTGTGAGATGGTGACTAGGTTTAGCGTCACCCGGAGGGTGACGTGCTAAAAGTGTTCTCAAACGTTCCTCTCTAGATGGGAGGAAATGACGTAGAATCGCCTCTTCGAGACGATTGTAAACATTAGGGACGTTAAGATTGAGAACAACCTCGCGAACAGCAACTATGTGGTCCCCGGGTAGCGATCCAAGAGCAAAAGCGTATTTCTGCTTTTGACTCGTAATTCGTCGAGTCTCGAATTGAGACTCTAGTGCGGCGAACCATACCTCAGGGTCGTGGGGGATAAAAGCTACAGGTCTAAACTGGATGGCCTGTATATCAGACTCTATGTTAGTAATGCCGCTCTTTTCGTTATCCATCATGCCGAGTATAGTATATATTAAGAATTAATATAAAAATACACAACAGACGTGGATAGAAAAACAATAGACTCACCGGAATGACTTCCTGAGGCGAAAAGACCAGAATTTATGGCGTGTTTCAGAAGTCTGCTCACCAGTTGTGGCGTGGTGTCGAGTCCCAGTTGACTATGAACACCACTACAGAGAAACACGTGCCAGAAAAATCAGAAGGCGAAGATTGAATGTAACCAGATTTATTCGTTGGCGATCTCGTGGTATCGAACTAATACCAAGATCGTGCCAAGAAAAGGTACAAGCGGAATCGGCAGGAGAAAGTACGTGCGAACGGGGTCACGAACCGCGAAACAATAATGGAGAGTAATGGTAGCACGAAATGTCTGTCATTAGCACAGCTAAACAAAAGCACATTAAAACAAGCACAGGTACAATTAGTTATAATAATAATAATAATAATAATAATAATAATAATAATAATAATAATAATTGTTTTCATTAAATCAATCGTGTTCTCGTGATAAAAGTAAGTCCCTACAGTTCCATTCGAGCAGTGAGGTTAGGCAAGGTTGTCCAATTTATTTATTCCTCTTCAACTTTGCTATCGATGTCATTTAGGAAGCAGTTCTGATGGATATAAGTAATGGCGGTGTTGATCTGTTGCCTGGAGAAAGACTTCTCGACCTTGAGTATGCGGATGATATTGTCTTACTCTGCGATAATGCCCAAGGCATGCAATCCGCACTTAGTCAGTTGGCAATCGAAGTGCGTAAGCATGGTATGTGCTTTGCACCTTCGAAGTGCAAAGTACTTCTACAAGACTGGCAGGATTATAATCCTATACTCACCGTGGATGGTGAGGAGATAAAAATAGTCGAGAAGTTCGTATGTATAGGTAGCTGCTTAAGTGCTGGTGGTGGCGTGAGTGTTGAGATCAGTGCACGTATAGTGAAAGCCAGAGCGGCTTATGCCAATCTGGGCCATCTTTGGCGCCTTCGTGATGTTAGTTTGGCTGTAAAAGGTCGGATCTACAACGCGTCAGTGAGAGCAGTTTTGCTCTATGCTTGTGAAACCTAGCCCTTTGAGCGGAGGATGTTAGACAACTCTCTGTGTTCGATCATCGCTGTCTCCGAAGGATTGCTGACATCCAGTGGCAACACCATGTCAGTAATGCAGAGGTTCGGCATCGTGTGTCCGGGCACAGTGATGATAATGCAATCGATGTCACCATCTTGAAACACCGAATTCGGTGGCTTGGACATGTTCTACGAATGTCGTCCCTGAGAATTCCACGTCGTGCATTATTTGCCGTCTCTGGGACAGGTTGGAAGAAGAGGATAGGTGGCCAGTGTATGGCATGGTGTCGTGGCTTGAAAGAAAGCTGCAAAGGGCTGGCTTGTGTTGGTCCTTCACGACTCCCTGGTTGGGGTCCGAGAGATGGTGCAACACAGTGGCTAGAGACGTTATCAGATATGGTTTAGAATAGAAGCCAGTGGCGATCCTGCTGTACCATTCTTTTACTTTCTTCATAAAAAGTGGTTGTGTCTCCCTTACCTGAAAGATTTTTTCTGATTGTACCCTTCCGTTTCCACGATTATTATGATTATTATCATTATTATTATTACACTACTTTACACTAATCTGCTCGTTGTTGTTCCTTTATTTACGCTCCTTACCTCCTTTTTTTCTCTTCGAATTCTCATTGTTTTGTGTGGCGCATTTATATTTGGTGCCCTCTTGTACCAATATTTATGTGTTCAAATAAATAATAATAGTAAATAAATGTGGAGTTCGAAATAACGTCACTCAGCTTCACAGTCTGAGACGTGTTATTACTGACTTATTCTAGTCGTAACCAACCTGTAAGGCTGAAATAGTTACAATTAATAGGCACTGAGTAATAAACAATGCCAAGTTTGTTCAGTCTTTTATTGTTGATCTATTTGTGTCGGTCGAATTTCAATGCTCCCACTAGTGTGTGATTCGATATCACGTGACCCATGTTGAGATGCTAGCTAGGTGGATGCGGTCAGTAAAATAACGGACTGGATTACTATGTTTACATATTCCGTTTACCATAAGTTTTCATTTAAATAATTAATTATCATCGTTCTGCTTATTATTCCTATTTTATTTGCCAATCAAATACTCACAGCTTACCCTATTCACAGCCTCTCTCGGCTTCTATATGTGATTCCTGTGAATTTTCGTTTTATGGTGTGATGTGGTTCAGTATGTTTGTATGTAATCCCACGTATGTTTGAAATACGATAATGGTAGAAGGTGGTTTCTGATTTCTCGTTTCACTCGAGGCAGAAGATAAAGAAGGGTTTGAGTATAACGGACCAAATTCGAGCTTAGCTTGTGTTTGGCTCAAAGTTAACGGTGCAGGTCTAACGTGTATTTGGTCAAGTCTGAAATACTAGTTCGTAGAAGACACAGTAGACGCGGCATAGAAAAAAATATAATTAGAATTCTGATTGGTGACTAACACGCGATATCGATCAGTGTCTCTTGTTATAACAACAAGTAATAAATGACAGTCTATTGTCATTCTGTTTGATGATGATTTATGTATTATTGTTAAAAATAATATCTACCAAAGTTGCACTAGTCCAACAGTTAAATCTTGTTATACTATTCATTTTGCTGTACGCTTAATGTTTCTCGTTTCATTTTTCATTTTTTTGTTTTTCAAAGTAAACTATCCAAAGAGTTCTCTAGATATATTGCTCATTTATTACCGGATGATGACCTAATGTTAAATGAAATTAACCATAATTTTCACTTAACCGATTCATTAGACGAGTTTGTCACATTTTTAGCTCAATATGTTGAAAAGATTTTACCATACTTAGTTGATAAAGGCAAATTAGTAAGTATATTGTGTTCATAATAGATAAATAGTTATTTATGTTGCTCCATTTCATAGTAGTAATATTGTTTTAATTCTTTTTTTTTGCCAATTGTTAACTGACTAGGCTAAATACGATATGGATTTCTCAAGTTTTTAGTTTGACCATGTGTAGGATGGTTAGAGGCTGTGTGCAAATTGCCGTGAACTTACAAAACGTGTATGAAACAGTTATTCTATGTGCGTATTGATTTTCAAAGACCTATCAGTTGACATTATACCATAATGAGTTCAAATCTGGAGTAAAAGAATTCCTATCTGATTTGTTTATCTCGACTCTAACCTCTTCCCGTCATTTAAAATTTATTTAATGGACAAAAAATGGTTAGTGTAACACTAGAGCTAATCAATGGGATTCAAGTTCACTTGGTTGAAAAGTAAAATGAAATAAATCCTAAATTCCAACATTAACTTTGAATAAATATTTTTAATTGCTTCCTATCACTGCACAATGATGAGTGTAATGGACATAAGCCACCTTTAACGCCATCACGATCTTGGTTTAGCCGTGAATGAATGCAAATATATTAATTTATTTATAACAATCTACCCAATGCTCAATTTATTCGAAATTACCAAGTCAAACCTTGGTAAATGGTTACATTGGTACAAGCAGTTCTGTTCTGTCTTTGAAAAACCTATCCTTTCTGATCTGAGAGTATCTGGCCACATTGTTCGATTATCTATATCTCCGAGAAACTTCACATTCATTTTTATTGTTATGCAGAATCGAAATAGTTAGTCCTTTAAAAACTGTGTAAAAAATATGTATCATTGAATGCCAACTTATGGGTCTAACAATTAAACTCTCTTTGTGAGACCTATTGGTCATAGTTTTAGTCATCTGTAGGGCCGTGGATGCTCACTGGTGAAGAGTCTCATACAAAACAAAGCAGTTAACCAACGCTTCCTGTTTTCTAATGATTGTCTAATCAGGGTCAGTTCGTAACATGCAAACTACACAATAAAACCTTAGTGACTTTATGGATACACTAATTACTGATTTTACTGTTCTCTTTTTAGTTTATAGTAACATGTGAAAGCATTAATTGTTACTATTTAATGTATGTGCTAGAAATACCCCACGAAATGTTTTCCACTAGGTTTCAAAACAGTGTAAAGAAGGTTTAGACTTCATTGTCAATTGTGATACTTTAAAAGTAACCTATTGAAGTAGCTCATCTATTCATTTAGTTCCAGAGTTAAATGATAATTAAACTTTAAGTATATTATTAAAATTGATAAACATCTCTTATCTGAATGCTACCTGATCAAGTCTGTCCGTATATACTGAAGGTGTCTTCATCAAACGACTAGTATGTGCAACGATGTTGTCTTTTCACAATTCAAGGAAAGGGTTGGACAAGGTTGGTCCTAAAAACAAAATACCTCAGCATATGCTACTTATTTTCTTCATCAAGGATAACGTAACGAATATTAAGTTTTTCTACACTCCTCTTATTCTCTCTGGAAAAACGTAGATTAGAATTGAAAGACCTATACTGCGATTCACAATTCAGTTTACAGTGAATGTAATTGGTGACAAAGTGAGACTTATTGGAGTGCTACCATGCTCCGTAACACTCAAGGATCTGATTATATTTGGCATATGTCACGTAATAAATGACAAGCTAAACTTATTGGACTTTCTAAATTCACAGGCTAAATGGAAAATCTGTGTAACCAAAGTCGGTAACATTTTGCATTCATTTCTCATTGAAGGACGCGTCATCAACTTTATGTGAAGCAATTAACGGTTTCACTTGTCGGAACATATACAGGGGATGAAAATTGACCTCTAGAATCAATTTTACTACATTAATGGTACAATCCATTAATTTCACCAGAATCATTTAGCCAAATGACTTTAATGGATTGGTTAATGTACTCAGTTTTAACCATATTCATGGTCAAACAACAGATAAAAATAGACAACCAGACAGAGAAACTTCGAGCTGTGAATAAGTGACCTCGAAAATAAGACTAGAAGAGAGCTCACCAATTTGTAGTGGCCCAAATACTAGGACTAAATTCAGATGCACATAACTCCAAAGTAACAATTATAAAGGAGAATTGCACTTATAAAGTATACATTGTGAAATAACTGAAATAAAACTGAACATATACTTGTAAAACTTCTGGATCAGAAATCAACGATACAAACGTTCACTCAATCGATTGCAGTAATTCAACCTAATTAGGGACTAATGAATTATCAGAAAATGTGTATATTTTACAGTGTTTTTAGTTCTAGACTATGTAGGAACCTTTCAAGGTTTATTTTATTTTAACACATAGATATTGGTACAAGGAGGCACCAAATACATATGCGCCACACAAATCTCATTCGATATGTGTGAGGGCTGTGATACTGCCCAGGTGCCCAAACCGAGGCAGGTGGTCTTCTTAGGGGGCCCAATCCCCGAGCCTTTGACCTGATGGTCTGATCAACAAGGCAGTGGAGCATCGTAAGGAGATGCAGTCCTATGGAAGCCGCTGACCAACAATTGGTTCATACGCCATTTGTTCCTTCAGGATACTGGAGCCCATTTGCACCATCGGTTTGGAATCCGGTTAAAGCGCTGGACATTCGCTTTTCGTCCTCTCATTCTCGTAAACAACAGTAATGCCACGAGAAGGCAGTGGGTGGAACTTTCAAGGTGTAAATCAGCGTAATATCTATACAACTCCATAGACATGTACGGTTAGTGATGCAAATGGATACGATTCGGAAGCCCGATGTCTTTTTGCACGCCTCAGCGAATAACGGTACTTTGTAAGTAGTTCTTGCTATGTTAGCTTTGCACTTTGAAGGTCTAATCATTTGTGTGAGAATAATTTTTCTCTTCAAAATGTGTTCAAAACGTGTTATGCTCACCATTTTTGTTATACAGGGAAAGCTAACACTTTTCATCCTGTCCTGTTATGCATACTGCTTATTGTATTTTTCAGATTTTTCTCCCCTTATTAGTTCAAATTATTTGTTTACATTCCAATCCATCGGTACGTGATCAATTTCTCTGCCTATTATTTGATTTCCTTTCAACTACTTCGTCCCCTACCTTATCACCTCAATCATCATTATTGTCAATTGAGCATAAAATGTATGTGGATCATATGAATCCACCTAGCCTAATTAAAATGAATACTGGTTGTTATTCAGTTGGTCGCATAAATCATGATGAATTCTCTAAGCATATATTAAATGCTTTACGATTATTAGCTTCATATTTAGGTAAGTGAAAAATTGTCTGATTATATTTTATGACAGCCTGTTATAAAAATGAGTGTTTTGTTTTTGGATTTCTCACTGGATAAGGGAAATGTTAGATTAGATTAAAATAAAAACCGTTGAAATCACGAACCGATTAATGTAAGACCACCATCCAAAACCTGGAAGCACTAGACGGCCATTTCGCCTCAGTATGGGACCCCTTAGCAACGCGCATCCTCGACCCCTCAATCGGGAATTGAACCCAGCGCCTTCGATCTTGCTCTCGAACGCTTAGCCTATAGACCATCTAGCCGTCATCCAGCGGTATTGGTTTCTGACTTCAATTAATCCACGATATTGTGTAACCGTTTTCTATTGTCTTCGGTTAGTAGTTGTCTCATACCTGACACGATTTCGCTCCATTGATCACGGTTTCTTACCAAGACTCTGGGAATTTCATCTCAAAGCTATTCATTAGTGAGCACATGATAATTGTCAGTAAGTTGTAGGGTTTATGGTTTTTCATTGAGATCATGAAATTAAAGTCACATAGATTTTTTTATTCATTTATTTACAGTAATTATTACAATGTTTACATTAATTGATCATTGGTTAGTAACCAGTGTGATGTTTGTCTAATATTAAGTCCTAGTCGGATCCTGTCGATCAAGTTACAGCGTGATCAGTAGTCTAATTAATTCGTTTCCTATCGACTGCTTGGAAATCACCTAACATCAGAATATAGAGACTCAGTGTTAAATCACCTAAACTAATAGCCGCTTGCAACTTGACTGTTATGACTCGGTCATCTCTAATCACTATATGAACATGACACTAGATATAACCCAGTGATCGACCAGTGTAAATATTTCAGTCCTATAGGAGGTCAGTCTCTTTCCGGATCGGTCAGTGGTAACTTCTTAGATTTTAAAGCTGAGTGATCACCGGCGTTTATCACTTCCTTCAAGATTGCTGTTAAATGTTACTGACAAGTACCAACTAGCACAAAACTTAGGTCCAGAGTTTTCTATCGATTGCCTCCGTTCACCTAATATTGTTACAATATGTTTGAAACAGTGAGAAAATTTACAACTTTGTTTATTATTCAAGTTTGTCGCGTTCGGGTAATTACGGTGTAAATTAGATACAAAGCAAGCAGTTGACCTCAAGAGTAGTTTATTTACACATACACAGCACATGATTGTAGACAAAACAGGACACTTTGATCCTTGATGACTTTCATCCACTTAGTAATTCCATCGGATTAGTTTGTGTGTTATGTGAATCGTGAAAGCATGTTAAATACCCTAAAAAAACATTTTTTAGCAAAAAATCAAATGCAACTATGTCTCAGTTAAATATAATTCTGACTTGTTTCAATGTAATTTTCTGTGCAAAAAGAAATGCTCCACACAAATTAAGTGATCACCTAGTGAAGAAAAAGATAAGAAATCCGTAAGGTCTATGAATGAATACAGAAGAATAGTATTTAATAAAAGATACCTCCTGATACCCATGTACGACTAAGAGTTTGAAGAGTCTCTCCTCTCACTTGAAACGCTGTCAAATGGCCACATGTCTTTTTACTGTTTGGTAGAAAAGTCGTCACACATTTCGCTTAACGAATGTGCTTTTATGAAAGGTTTATGGGCGGACATCCAACGCCTAAACCGGGTTTATAAATACCGAGTAGAATCCATTTGATTAGGTTAGAAAGTCCTTATGTCAAACCATTGGTATACATAACAGGCTCTAGGATTCTGGTATACAAATGGTGTACGAACCTATTTCTCTCACTGGTTATTATTGGACTTCATTTCTCGACGTCAGTGGTTTCATAGCATTATGGATTAGATCTCTGGGTCAAAAGCTCAGAGTTCGATCTCCCTAGGAAAACCATCTGATTCAGTTTAGATGTTCAGGCAGTAGTATCCCACCCCATACACACAAAAAATGAAAGTTGTAACAAAAACAACTTAGATAAACGTATCAGACTCTTAGCACTAGCTGAATTCTGTCCATCATTGATAGAGAAAATATTTCACCGTCCACAAACGTTCTACATTTTAAGTTTGCTTTTTAGGTCGACTTACATTTATCATAATTCATTTCTATTCATGAATTTCAATAAGCGGCAATCAAAATCTCTACCGATAGACACAAATCTAGAGTTATTATTGATGCATTAATAATTTCATTAATCAATGGTCTTTATCAGTATTGGAACTAAAAACATTTTTTGGTATCTAAAATGTCATGTTGTCTACGTGTTCATACTGTCATTTTGATGACATCGTTTATTCACCTTTGATCTTGGATGACAAAGAAGTAATTACGACTCACAGCGTTAAGTCAGCATATTATTATAACTAATTCAAGCATATTATTTACTTGTCTGATATTAGATCTACATTTTAAACAAAAAGTTGGAAAGTTATTTTATACGAAGCGTTTCATATCGTACTTTTAACAAATCATTCTGTTACTATCTATCCTTATTGTATAGGTCCTGCTCGATTGGAAGGTGAACTGTTACCGGGATTATGGTTACAAATAAATAAATGTCCAATTTCTGATCTATCCAGAAGGCTTCTTTTAGTGTCGGCCTGCGGTGTAATCGCTCCTCACCTTCCGGTTAGTTAAAAATCATATTATTATCTTATACTATGATTGCTGGCCTACGATTGGTGTGTATTTTCATATTCTATAGTGTATAACTTAATCTGGGATTACCCACGGGGTAAACCCTCCAAATAAACTGCAAATATATAGCTGTTCTCGTCTGGCCGTAAAGTAGATACGTTGTATCCCGTGGAGAGAGAGTATGAATAAATCTGAAAAAAAGAACAAGAGACAAAGTAAACAGACTCATGAAACACGCTGTTTGCAATTGCAATTAATAACGAAAACAATCAACAAAAATAAGCAGTAACACAAATGTGAGATTAAGATAATATGAAAATGGAAACTAGAAGTTAATACAGTAAAATTTTAAATGTGCTACACAGTTTTCCCTGGTACGAAAGCATTATCCCAGTACTTGTTTTACTTTAAATAAGAATAAGAACAGGTCTGCCTGACATTTCTTTTATGTTAGCATTCTTGAAAGTTCACCAAAATTATTGAATTAAGTGTTTTTGTTAATAAGTAAAGTTGGACGATTGCAGCTAGTTGAATGTTCTTACTTACTTAAGCCTGTTACTCCCAATGGAGCATAGGCCGCCGAAGTTGAATGTTCACCAAGCTATAAATTTACTGGCATCTCATCGCGAGATTTATTTCAACGGCGATTCCAACTATCTGATCCAGTTGTACACTGTTACTTAAACTACAAATGATGCGAAATTTCGTTTCGTTTAGACTGAATGACTTCAAAAATGGTTGGTTACTGATTGTGTATAAAACATTCATAATGAATTTATGTATTCACAAAAATATTACCGATAGGAATTTTATTTATTTAAACACATAAACATTGGAACAAGAAAGCGCCACACAAATCATTCGATTCATACGTCATTTGTTCCCTCAGGATCCTGTAGCCGATGTGCACCATTGGTAAGGAATCAGGGATTTTTAACTCCTTAGGTGGATCCTCCATATTCACCAATCCGGGTAAAGCGCTGGACATTCGTTTCCTAACAACTGCGTTACTTACTCGATGATCCCAGGATATACGAGCAATGTTTCGAAGACACCTATGATCAAATACTAGTAACATACGAATATCCTCTACTCTTATCGGCCATGCTTCACTGCCATAAAGTAGGACGGGACGAACTGCTGCGCAGTAAACACGTCCTTTGGTTGATAGACGGATATCTGGCCTACGCCATAAATGACGCAAGTTGGCAAAAGGTAGTCGAGCCTTCTGTATCCGTGCTGAGATTTCGTTACACACCAGACCACAAGGGCTGATGAGACTTCCAAGGTAAGTGAAACGGTCGACACACTCAACTACTTCACTCCCTATCACTAGTTCGGGTGTCGATGTAACCCAATCCTGAAGCAACATTTTGCATTTCGAGGGAGAGAATCGCATCCCGAACATGCTTGCATTGTTGCTTAGAGTGGTCAGAAGACTGCATTTTGTCAGCGTCTTCACCAAATAGAACTAATGTCATCGGTATATTCTAAGTCAACAAGTGAACCTCCTGGTAGAAGTTCAACCCCTGGAAATCTAGACGAGGAAAGTGTCATCTCTAAAAGTACGTCAATGACAAAGTTAAACAAGAATGGGGAGAGTGGACAGCCCTGACGGACACCACTTGAGGTGATCAATTCTGATGACAGTTCGCCATAAGCTCTCACTCGACCAGTTGTGTTCGAGTAGAGAGCCTTTATAAGGTTAATGTACTTCTTTGGTACTCCTTTCACTGACAAACACTGCCATAGAACCTTACGATCGAGAGTCGAATGCTGCTTTAAGGTCCAGAAATACTATGATTGTGGGGCGTCTGAATGTATGTCTGTGTTCTAGGACCTGATGTAGTGTGAATATGTGGTCTATACAACCACGTCCGGGTCGAAAGTCAGTCCGGTTTTCTCTAGTTTGCTCTTCACGAGCTTTAGTTAGGCGTCGAAGTATTATTGAAGCTAATATTTTAGACACTATATTTGTCAAACTGATTCCTCTGTGATTGTCACAAGAGGAATTTTGTCCTTTCTTATAGACTGGCACAATCAGTGATTGAGACCAGTCAGATGGGGTTACGTCCAGTATTCAAATTCTACCTAAGACCTCGGTTAATCTCACTGCTAATACTGAACCACCATCCTTAAAAATCTAAGGAATAAACCTGTCAGGGCCTGCTGCTATTTACCGTACTGGTAATATCACTGCTATTTCCACAGCTTTTCGGATATCACTTTATGCCGCCCCAGGGTGGGCATCACATACATGGCTGCCTAACTGTCTTCCGAGTTGTTCCTGAAATATACTCTTAGCTTGACTATGATTAAGTAGGGCCCCAAGAGGTTTACTTGCACCATCTTTCCTACGTCCAGTAAGACGCAGGCAAATACGCGCTCCCACTAGAGCATGATCTGAATCTAAGCATGTGCTCCAGAATGAGCGAGTCTTCTATCGAGCCCCTCCATCGGTGGCTGATAGCGATGTAATCTATTTGGGTCCAATGTTGGGACGAATTACGGGGTCGCCATGCTAAAAGATGTTTTTCCTCATGCTTACAGTTAGTATTTGCAAGAAAGGCCCCCTGAATGCCCTGGTACGGCCGAGAGTGGGGAGAGTCCGCTCTCCCTCTCGAAATACTCTCACACGGCCACGCGTATACAGTCTCTGCCAGGGAAGTCCTACTCATTGCCTTCTCGTCGTGGGGGTGTTGTTTACGAAAATGAGAGGACGAAAAGCGAATGTCCGGCGCTTTAACCGGATTCCAAATCAATGGTGCACATGGGCTCCAGTATCCTGCGGGAACGAATGGCGTATGAACCAATCGTTGGTCACCGGCTACCATGGGATTGCATCTCCTTACGATGCTCCACTGCCTTGTGGGTTAGACCTTTAGGTCAAAGGCTCGGGGAGTGGCCCCCTAAGATAACCACCTGCTTCGGTTTGGGCACCCGGGCAGTATCACAGCCCACACACAAATTGATGAACTCTTTATGCCTATGGAAATTACCTTTCTCTCTTTGAAAAACAAACAATTGATTCAGATTATTATCATTACAATTATTGTCATTATTAATACTAATATTATTATTACTACTATTATTGTCATTATTGTTATTATTATCATTATTATTATTATTTTCCACATTATTCATCCTCTTTTATACTTATACAGCGGCTCGTCTTTGGTGGAAATTCGACTCTATCTAAACGTTCTCGAGTCACTGTCCGGTTGAAAATTGTATGTTACCACCGAATACGAGGACTGAAGCAGATTTTCTGAAACCACGTGCACCATTCAAACTGGCTGCCTTCAACGTTCGCACACTTACGCAGATCGGACAACAGATAGGGCTGGCTATGTCTTTAGAAAATCTTCATATCGATGTCTGCTGTCTATCCGGGACCCGTATTGAAGACTCTGGTGAAGTACTACAAATTCCCTCTCCATCTGTCGCTTCAAAAAGCTTGTTTTACATGCGCTTATCCGGGGACCCTGTGGCATCTTCGTCTGGTCTTGCTGGCGTTGGTGTCACACTAAGCGCTAGAGCTGAGGCAGCACTAATCGATTGGATCCCCGTTAACAGTCGGTTATGTGCTGGTAGATTAGAGAGTTCGATCAAAGTGAGAAGAAATCGACGTGAGAAACGATGTCTTTTCGTCATCTCCGCCTATGCCCCGACAGATTGCAGCCCGGATGCAATCAAGGATGAGTTTTACCACCAGTTATCTGTTCTTCTCCAGAAAGTGCGTTCGATAGATATTGTAGTACCAGCCGGAGACTTGAATGCTCAGGTCGTGCGTCTAGACACTGAAGAGAGTCGTTTAGGTGGCCGATGGGGACTCGTTGGTCGCAGGTCAGATAACGGGCACCGTCTACTGCAACTTTGCACAGACCACAACCTGTTTCTGGACACCACTAACTTTCGGCACAGTCATCGCCGATGTGCCACCTGGCGTCCTCCCTCTGCATCTCAAGCCTGAACTCAGATTGATCACATCGCGATCAGCTACCGCTGGCGTGGTTGTGTACAAGACTGCCGCTCGTTTTGGAGTACCTATCTGGACTCTGATCATGCCTTGGTCTGCGCCAATCTTGCCTTACTTTTCAGTGGACAACGACGTGAACGCCATCAACGGATTGATGTTAGCAAGCTGGTTGCAACTTCTGTTGCAAATAAGTATCGAACCGAGCTAGCCTCTAGGCTAGCTACCACTCCACCGAAAAGTATAGATGAGCATTGGTTGCAATTGCATGACGCCATGAAAATGGCGGGTACAGTCAGTTGTGGGTTTGCAAAACGTCCCGCTTTTAAGCAATGGGTTTCTTCTGGTTCCTTACAACTCATTGAAGCCCGTCGGTCTACTCCGGGTGACCGTGAGTTTGACCGCAAACGAAGGATGTTATGTAAGGAAATTGGGCAAAGCTTACGTAAGGACCGAGAAGCCTGGTGGTCGATGCGTGCTAATGAGCTGGAAGCAGCAGCTGCATCTGGTAACTACCGGAAGCTCTTCCAGCTCATCCGAGCCACTGGCAGCAAGAAGTCTGGTGTGAGTGAAACAATCTGCGAGGATGATGGGATGCCAATCACTAACATCCATCGACGTCTTGGACGATGGGCAGAATTTTTCGAAGGGCAGTTCAACTGGCCTGCTGCTCCGGCAACATCGGTCAGACTGTCCTGCCCTCCATGGCCGGTGACGAATGATCCACCAAATGTGGAGGAAGTCCGCAAGGAACTCCAACTCTTGAAGCGTTACAAATCACCTGGCCCAGATGACTTACCTCCGGCTCTTTTTAAAGATGGTGGTGACTTTTTGACTAAGGAATTGACGACGTTGTTTAAAAAGGTTTGGGAACTAGAGAGTGTACCAACGTCATGGAATGAGTCGATAGTTGTCCCTATCTTTAAAAAGGGTTCACCTCGTTCCTGTAACAACTATCGGGGGATAAGTTTACTTCCGATTGCGTCCAAGCTACTGGCTTCCGTCATTCTTCGTA